GGTAAAGTGGAATGGAAGTGAAAGCTGATAGAGTTGAGATCAAGGAATTAGAAAGGCTAGGCTACTGATTACTTATTTAATATAAGGACAGCGAAGACATACAGGATGACAAGGCTCAGGAGTGAGAAAAAAAATGATAAAAGGTAAGGGAGGTTTCAACCTCAATGTAGAAAGGATTTTGACCACAAGATAGAAGAGAAATTGTAAGAATAAGCTTAACAGTTCTTCCCTTGAATTATATAGTAAGCAGAGTGAGAGGAAGAGACCACATTCGCCTCAAATGCTAAATCCTAGTACCTAGCGTAATGCCTGGCACATTGCCAGTTCTCAATTGATTCAATAAAAGGAATGCAAAAAGGATGACCAATCTGTGAACCACAAGCCTTTAGCCAAAGGGTCTAAAATTTACAGTGTGGGCTGAATTAACGCCATGGGCAATAGTACTTTGCTCTCAGGGTACATTTTTGTTGCAACTGGCAGGAAAGAGAAAGTCTTTTCCTCAACATTCCACCCTGAGAAAACACCCAAACAGTACCATTCCTGTAAAAAATCCCAGGAGAACTGATAAATTCAAACAGACTGTCCAGATGCAAATACCTCATTTAAGATAAGGAGACACGTGGTTCTACTCTGATTTGATCCTCAAGGCTGGAAAGACATATGTTCTTACTGCATACAGAGTTCAGGAGGGTTAATAATAATAAAATCAGAATAAAGAAACTCAAAGGCAGCATACAGTCATCTTATCTAGTTAGGAATTAAAATTCTGGACTTAACTGTAGCAACCTCTTCACTTTCATTATTTACGCTGTGAGCTTGTTTTCAGGGACAGCAAGGAAAACATGAGACAGCATCTGACTCTCTAGCCAAGCTTGGGGAAAGAAAAACCCTGAGAGTGGGAGGGAATGGTAACTAAGCAAAAGGAGAGGTGAGCAAGTTAGGTCTTGGATGCCCAGGGCTAAAAACGAGGTCTGACATTTAGCAGTAATTAAGTCTATGGATTTCCCAATACACTGTGCCTATCCACCACCAGCGGAAAAACAACACCCTCTTCTTTTCATTAAAGATGTCCATGCCAGAAACATACTTCACTCAAGATAGAATTATGATTAATTATGGTCAGCCCTGATTATAAAATATATCAAAAGGAATAAATTAACCTAAGAATCTTGTCCAGTACTTCTTTCAACATTTCTAGGACAAGCATTATTATACTATCTCCAATTCTATACCTAACATGTTTTATAGATCAAAACATCATTAATCTCAAATGATTCCAATGGGAAAGCCAGACAGCAGATTAATACTGACTTATTGATACAGAAAGTGATGTTCAGAATATCTAAACTGCTTCTTTTAAGACAATCACCAGGGTGATTCCAGCTGGCTGTCAGAACAGCATCAGCATGTGACTCTTGATCTCGGGGTCATGAATTCGAGCCCCACACTGGTGTAGAGATTACTTAAATAAATAAATAAATAAACAAACAAAAAGACAATCACCAATAAAGTTGTGGTCATATTTGTTCCTCAGCTTTTATACTAATAAGCCATGTATACTGCTTAAGTGAAAATCAGAAAGATAAAGAGCAAAGTATTACAAACCCTGTAATTTTTGTTAAAAGTTGTTTCGATTGTCTTTTAATATAGTTTTGTAGTAAGACTTGTTTTAAGACAGTGTGATCTTGGGGCGCCTGGGTGGCTCAGTTGGTTAAGCCACTGCCTTCAGCTCAGGTCATGATCCTGGAGTCCCGGGATCGAGTCCCGCATCGGGCTCCCTGCTCAGCGGGGAGCCTGCTTCCCCCTCTGACCCTCCCCCCTCTCATGCTCTATCTTATTCTCTCTCTCAAATAAATAAATAAAATCTTAAAAAAAAAAAAAAAGACAGTGTGATCTTTTCAGAAATCAATCCCAAACAAAAAGAACAAGAAACCAAACACACATAACCCATTTTCAATAAAACTAGGAAATGCATCTCACTCCACACCTCAAAAGTGAAGAAAACAGAGTGGGATAAAGCAATGGTACATGACTCAGTGGAGTAGAATATGATCAAATCTAAATGCCTGCACAGAGAACTCAAAAGAAGCTGATTCCATAGAACCTTAGTAGGTTCAAAAACTGGAGACAAAAATAAAAAGCAAGAAAGGAAAAAAAAAAAAAGTCATTAGGGACTGCAGAAGGCGGAAGGTGGAGGACTAAAAACAGGTAGATTACTAGCACTTAGAAAGGTGTACTCTCCAGAAAAAAAAAAAAAAAAAAAAAAGAGTGAAGGATCAGATACAGAGTGAAGTGCTAAAGTAAAAACTTGACTTCAGTGAAGGTCTGCATGTTGAAAGGTTAAGATCTTCATCTCTTCTCTCCCATCCAGGTCCAGGATGCTTTTTCTAGGTAAAAGAATAGAGGATCTTTCTCAGCACCAACTGACTACAGACAATGATATTTGGAGGTTCTCAGTCAATTGCCAGCTAACCACATGACTGTCCTAAACAGATGGAACTTCTGATCAGCTTTTCAGAGTTCTACTTTTAAATATGAACAATCAGTGAAGGACACCAGGCATCTAAAGAAGGCCTTTCACATGGAAGAAAGAGACTAAATCAAACTCAAAGAAAATAGGAACTTAGAAAAGAGATACAATGCATAGAACAAAAAAATATTTCAAAGAATTATCATTAATACCCTCAGAGGAATAAGATAATGTACTCATAAAATAGGTTGCTATAAAAAGAAAAAATGAGGGGTGCCTGGGTGGCTCAGTTGGTTAAGCATCTGCCTTCGGCTCGGGTTATGATCTCAGGGTCCTGGGATTGAGCCCCACGTCAGGCTCCCTGCTCAGTGGGCAGTGTGCTTCTCCCTCTCCCTCTGATCCTCCTCCCCACTTGCGCTCTGTCTCAAATAAATAAAAAATCTTTTAAAAAAAATGAATAAATAAAAGAAAAAGAAAAAAATGACAAAGTTCTGGAGAAAGACAAATATGATAGCTTAAAAAAACAGTAAAAGGATTAGAAAATAAATTTCTAGAAAAATCTCAGAGAGTAAACAAAAAGACAAAGAAATGGACAAATGGAAAAGATAAGAAAAATAGATGATCAGTCCAGGAGGTCCAATATCCAACTAACTATAAATCCAAAAGAGAAAACTTCCCCCTCTCCAAGTAGAGGGGGAAATTATCAGAGACCATATAAGAAAACCTCCTAGAGCTGAAGGATTGGAACTTTTAAGATTGGAACTTTTAAGATTGAAAGAGTAAAAATAAAGAAAATAATAAGGATCAAAGCAAGATAAACACACCACTGTAAAAAATTTAGAGTAACAGAAATCAAAAGAAAATTTTAGATATTTTTAAAGAAAAATAGATCTCTAGGGACGCCTGGGTGGCTCAGTCCGGTAAGTGTATGCCTTTGGCTCAGGTCATGATCCCGAGGTCCTGGGATCGAGTCCCACATCTGGCTCCTTGCTCAGCAAAGAGTCTGCTTCTTCCTCTGTCTGCTGCTCCCCATACTTGTGCTCTCTCTCTCTCCCTCTCTCTCTCCCTGACAAATAAAATCTTTTTTTTAAAAAAGTTAAAATAAATAAATAAGAAAGAAAGAAAGATCTCTAAAGAAAGGGGAATCAGGGGGCGCCTGGGTGGCTCAGTCAGTTAAGCATCTGCCTTTGGCTCAGGTCATGATCCCAGAATCCTGGGATCAAGCCCCACATCGGGCTCCCTGCTCAACAGGGAGTTGGCTTCTCCCTCTCCCTTTCCCTCTGCTGGGTCTCACTCACTCTCTCTCAAATGAGTAAGTTTTAAAAATCTTTAGGAAACAGGGGCGCCTGGGTGGCTCAGTCGTTAAGTGTCTGCCTTCAGCTCGGGTCATATTCTCAGGGTCCTGGGATCAAGCCCCGCATCGGGATCCCTCTCCCACTCCCCCTGCTTGTGTTTCCCTCTCTCACTGTGTCTCTGTCAAATAAATAAATAAAATCTAAAAAAAAAAAAAAAAAAAAACTTTAGGAAAGAATAAAAAGAAATGGGAATCAGTATGGCAAGGGACTCCTTAATAGAAACACTTAAGGCTAAATGAAAATAAAGCAAAATCCTGGGTGAAAATGATTTTCAACTTCAAAACCACACTCAAACAATCAAACAAGCATAAGGGTCTAATAGGGAAATTTTCAAATATGCAATATTTCCCCAAAAATTTACCTTCATGTACCCTTTCTCAGGAAGCCACTGGTAGATGGTCACCAAAAAAGGGAACAAGGGCATAAACTAAGATAAAGGAATATATGGAATCCAGGAACAAAGAATCCAACACTGATGGAGCCAAGGGGATTCCAAGGATTGTGGTGAAAGTCCAGTAATGGCAGCTATGCCTCAAGAGCTACCAATACAGACAGGAATAGGGGGACAGAAGGTTCTGACGGGATTCCACAGGAAAATAAATGGAACTGATCGACTACCTAATAAGTGGGACCATAGAAAACTGGCCTGAACAGAGTTGTTGGAAGGTATGAGAAGACAACAGACTCAAAGAAAACAAAGCAAAATGAGAGGATGGGGAAAAGGGAGGAAGAAGTGAAAGAGAGTAGAGTGGAAGTCAATATATAATTCTAAAACTGCTATATTAAGTAACAGCAGAACATGCTTATTACTTAGAAATATGGAGACCAGAACAAAGAGCTAAAAGAGTTACTTCAGAGGAGAATTAAAAGAGCTCTCCTTTCCACATTCACCAAGCAGAAAACAGGAATACCAATAATGAAACATATCTCACATTCTAAGAGGACTTGTCATATTGTGTTAGAAATACATTTTCTTGACTGAGAATTTTAGGCCAAAATGTGGATTTTATAGCAATTAACAATAAAGTTGGGGAGGGGCGCTTTGCTGGCTCAGTCAGTAGAGCATGCAATTCTTGATCTCAGGGTCGTGGAGTTCACCCCCTATGTTGGGCGTGGAGCCTACTTAAAAAAAAAAAAAAAAAGGAAAAAGGAACAAAGAGGAGGGAAGGAATCACCTTTTTAAGCACCTTCATGGCAAATATTTTCCCAGTATTTGCTCCTGTTACTTTTCGTACTTGAAAAACCTGGATAAAAAATAAAAGTGTTTGTTATTAAAAGCTAAACTATGCTAGTCACACTCCCTTAATTCCTATTTATAGAAAACAGATGATACATAGTTTATATTCTTATAAAAACTAGTAACACAAAGACTGTGCAAAAATGATGACCTCAAAGAGCAGACTATATTAAAGATTTAGTAATAAAATCTGTTAAACATGGGACTGTCCTATTTGGTCTGCTGACATCTGGTGGCAAAGTTGGTCAGTGACCATTCAATAATGAGCACTCTATATAACTTCATACACAAAATCCAAGTTTTCTTGGAAAAAGCTATAATCAGGGTTTCCAGAAGCAGAATACCAAAAGTAAAAATTATAAAATATTTTTAAGTTTCTTCCAGGAATGCCACTGTTCTTGCTTCACATAAAACTTTAATAATAGTTGACAGGAATTACTGTTTACCTATTCCTTAAAAAGGCTAACTATATAAAACATCATGCAATAGCTAAAATAATGTGAGACTCAAAGTAAATGTGTTCCACATTCGAGATGATTAGAATACATCAGAATGTGTCCTTAAGCCTGAGAAGAACCTACAAATGTCATGCTATGAAAAAATTAACACTACACAGTAGCATAAACAGTTCTTAAACTTAATCCTAACTACTAAAATGTTATCCAAATTCTATGTTTTGATAAAGAATAGCTAGGTATAAATTTTCTTGGGCAGAATACACAAAGGTAAGGTCACAAATTAGAAAGACTTGGGCAAAATATGAAGCTAAGAAGTTCTCTTCATTTTTCTTCTCCCTTCTTATATTTTTCAGCTTCCCTAACTCTAATGCTCCAAATACTGCAAGTCAAAGAAAACCAATTCAGATTTAGATCTCAGTAATAGTAACAATTTAATGGCCATGCCTCCTAAAAGTAAGGAGTGGTTTGTTTTTTAAGAGGATACCTACAGAGGATTCCATTTAACTAAAAGAAGGAAGGATTCCTCTAATAATAGACTTTGCCTGGCACAGTTGCCTATTTATTTATTCAACAAATACTGACTGAGTGCCTATTATGGGTCAGTCTTTTATGTGTATGTTGGTAGGAAGAGAACTTCTGTACATCCCTCAAATAATACCAGGCTAAGTGATCATATCCCTTGCTGATAGCTAGTAAACAAAGATTGAAGAGGACTGCTAAACCAGGATCTAAAAATTAACCTACCCAAGACAGACAACAGCTCTTATTTCAAAAATACTTCCTACCTTTCCATAGCCCCCTTTTCCAAGTACCCGAAGTAGCTCAAAACATTCTGGTCTGATTTTTTCTGGCCCTCTGTTCACACTAGTTTCCGAAATTTCAAATTTCTCACAATGTTCCATGCCACTGAGGAGAAAAGTAAAACCAAAAGTAAATTCTCAAAAAGTTAAATTATCTTCAGTTTACTATAATTGTAATCCAAATAAGTAAAAAGAAAAGGTATATAACAACAAATTTACTATCTGTGCGCTCAGTAAACTAATGATTCAATGGCAAGGTAGGTCAAGATTAGGATGGCTTGATAATTGCTTATCTGCTTGTTTACACAATATGCTATTTTTTTTTTTAAACATCAAGCACCCCCAAACTAAGATAAATTAGAACAAGTTTATTAAGTTGACAAAGGCAAAAAAGTCTTCTAGCTATTCATATTTAGTTCATTCAAAATGTCTATGAGACTATGTATTATCCAACTTCATTTGGCAACTTCAGAAAATCTGGGAACTTTGTAGAAGTACCCAATTAGTTCAAGAATTTATGCTACAAAAATTCTTGCTAATAAAATGTATCCATGCACCTTTCCATATCTACTATTAGCTTGATTTAAAGACTCCAAAAGTGGCATTTAGTGGCAATTTGTCCCTTCAATGCTTTTTATATGAGTTATCTTGGTCTACCCCCAATCCATGGTTTTTACTTAAGGTTGGGGTACAGAGCAGATTAATCACCATTCTCATTTAATAGAGTTTGCCTAAAATGACTTGAGATTGCACATATCTGTATGAATGATGTGTTACAAGCAAAACAAAAAGCATTTGACTTTGGAAGGCATTTCTAAAAATTTTATTTTTAAGTAAGAAAAGTTGACTCTCTATTAACCTAATGAAAATTCCTTACCCACTCAGACTCATATTCAGTATACTGTAAGTCAGAATGAACATCTTTCTCTCAAAATCTATATATGATCTCAAAACCCTGGATATATTACTATATGGTGCTAAACTCAATAAACTAAGTGTACATATATGACTAGATAATTAAGAACAGGTTATTGGAATCACATGATGGCTACAAACTGGAACTGATAAAACCTACTTGTAAGAAAGACAGCACAATGAAATCTTTTCATATACACTTACAGTTCATATGGTCCAACTCCCCCATGGTCCATGCTTTCATTTAACTGACCCTGAAAAATGTTAAAGTTTTAAAAATAAATAATCTCATAAACATAGAATCAAAATACTTAATGCTTCACCCTACTACTAAAGGAGAAATGAATGAAATAAACCAGCTTAAAAATTCTCCATACTTTAATAACCAGCAAATGTGGTGATGAACAAAATAAGGTACATGATACCACAGGGATTTCACTTTTAATTTTCTATGACAAGCTACAGATGCTACTGATCAATGATCTACAAACTAGGTGATAGCTCCTTTAAAAATTACATTTATTCAAAAGATGTATTTTGTGTATTATGAAACTAAAGGCACCAGATTCTAAGTATGAATTACTAAATCAAATGATTTACAAAAAGTGCTGTTCTGAATATGATTCTGATACACAAGACTAACATAACATCTAACTACAACCTAACTAAGCCTACAGTAACCACAACCAGTCCAAGATACTGTAGTGTATAATGTGGCTGATCAAAGCAAAATAATTAAGCAGCACCCTCAAATTGTCAAGAGTTACGTTGGCCAAACATTTTTATTCTGACCATAGTATAAATGGATGCAAAATTTAATTAACTTTCTGTACACTAACAATGAACAATTCAAAAATGAAATTAAAATAACTGTTTGCAATAGCATCAATAAAATAGCATCAATTAGAAAAAATTTAACAAAAGTGTAAGACTTATACATTTGATAACTATAAAACATTGCTGAAAAAAATTAAAGATCTAAATAAATCAAAAGACATTCCACGTTCATGGATCTGACAACTTAATATTGTTTAAGATGGTTCTACTAACCAAACTGGTCTATAGATTCAACTCAATCCTATCAAAATCCCAGGTTCCTTTCTTACAGAAATTGACAAGCTGACCATAAAATTCATACAGAAATGCAAGGGACCCAAAATAGCTAGAACAATTTTTGAAAAAAGGAGAACAAAGTTGGAAAACTGACATTTCCTGATTTTAAAGTGTATTTACTACAAAGCAACAGCAACGAAGACAATGAGGTACTGGGATAAGGACAGACATATAGTTCAATGAAATAGAATTAAGAGTCCAGAAATAAACCCTTATATTTATGGTCAACTAATTTTTGACAAAGATGCCAAGAAAATTCAATGGGAAAGAGACAGTCTTTCAATAAATGGTGCTAGGACATTTGGATATCCACATGCAAAAAAATTACTTTGGTCCCCTACTTCACACCATATTCCACCACACTAAAAAATTAACTTAAAATTCATCACAGGCCTGGGGTGCCTGGCTAGCACAGTTGGTTGGACATCGAATTCTTGGTTTGGCTCTGGTAGTGATCTCAGGGTCATGGGATTGAGCCCTGCATCAGGCTCCATGCTTAGCACAGAGTGTGCTTGGGATTCTCTCTCCCTTTCCCTCTGCCCCTTCCCACGGCATGTACACATTCTCTTTCTCGCTGTCTCTCAAATAAATAAATAAATCTTGAAAAAAAACTGATCAGGGCCTAAATATAAGAGTTAAAACTAGAAAACTCCTAAAAGAAACCTAGGATGGAGTAAATATTCATCTTGGGATAGGCCAAGATTTCTTAAGACACATCACCAACGGGCGCCTGAATGGTTCAGTCAGTGAAGTGTCTGCCATCAGCTCAGGTCATGATTCCAGGGTCCTGGGATCCAGCCCCATGTTGGGCTCCCTGCTCAGCAGGGAGTCTGCTTCTCCCTCTGTCCCTGCCCCCACTCGTGCACGCTCTCCCTCTCTCTCGATCACTCTCTCTCTCAAATAAAATCTTTGAAAAAGACACATCACCAAAAGAACAAATGATTCAAGGAAAAAAAAAAAAAACCAATAAACTGGACTTATTCAAATTTAAAACTTTTGCCCTTCAAAAGACATTATTAAGAAAGTGAAAAGAGGGCGCCTGGGTGGCTCAGTCGTTAAGCATCTGCCTTAGGCTCAGGTCATGATCCCAGGGTCCTGGGATAGAGCCCCACATCGGGCTCCCCGCTCAGCAGGAAGCCTGCTTCTCCCTCTCCCACTCCCCTGCTTGTGTTCCCTCTCTCGCTGTGTCTCTGTCAAATAAATAAATAAAATCTTTAAAAAAAAAGAAGAAGAAAGTGAAAAGAAACCCCACAGAAGAATTTATAAAGAACTTCTACAACTCAAAATTTTAAAATAACCCAATTTTTTAAAAAGTGTGTTAGAATCTGAATAGGTATTTCTCCAAACAAGATACACAAATGGTTAATAAGCACCTGAAAAGATGTTCAACATCATCAGCCATTACAGAAATGAAATGCAAATCAAAATCACACTGAGATATCCCTTCATATCCACTAGGGTGGCTATAATTAAAAAGAAAAGTAAGTTGGGCAAGAAGTAGAGAAATTAGGGGTGCCTGGGTGGCTCAGTCATTGGGTGTCTGCCTTCGGCTCAGGTCATGATCTCAGGGTCCTGAGATCGAGCCTGAGCCCCGCGTCCCGCGTCGGGCTCCCTGCTCAGCAGAAGCCTGCTTCTCCCTCTCCCACTCCCCCTGCTTGTGTTCCCTCTCTCGCTGTGTCTCTCTCTGTCAAATAAACAAATAAAATCTTTAAAAAAAAAAATTAGAAGTAGAGAAAATTAGAACACTGGTACACTACTGTCAGGAATGTAAAATGGTGCAACCTCTTTAACAGTTTGGCAGTTATCTTCAAAAATTAAACATAGACTTAACATATGACCCAGCAAATCTACTCCTAGGTATCCACCCAAGAAAAATAAAAATATATGTCCCATAAAGACTTGGGCACAAATGTTCTTAGCAGCATTATTCACAACAGTCAAAAAATGGGAACTCCAATGAACATCAACTGGTGAACTGATAAATTGTGGTTGATACATACAATGGAATACAATTTGGCTTTATGTACATACTATGACACAGATGATCTTTAAAAACGTCCTGTTAAGTGAAAGAAGCCAGACACAAAAGTCCACATACTGAATGATTTGGTTTATATGGAATGTCCAGAAAAGGCAAATTTATAGAGATGGAAAGTAGACCACTAGTTACCTATGGATTGAGGTGGCAATAAGGAGTGACTATAAATGGGCCCAGTTTCTTTTAAGGGTGACAGAAATGTTCTAAAACTAAATTGCAGTGATGGTTGTACAACTCTATAAATATACTAAAAGTCACATAATTGTTAAAAAAAAATAACTTGGCAGTAGAAATTCAGTTATTAATATTATAAAATATAGTTTTAAAATGAATATTCTTGAATATAGTCTGGTTATGAGTCTTTCAATTTATACAAAAGGATATCACTTAATTGGGCTTTCAAAAATAATTTTTTTTAAGTGTTGAATCACTAAATTGTACACCTAAAACTAATATTACACTGTAGGTTGACTAGCTGGAATTTAAATACTTTTTAAAAATGCTAAGTTTTTATTGAACATTTTAGAATAATTAAAAAAATATTTAGGTGAACACATCTTCCTTCAAAGGTACCACTGCACATTCAAGCTACACAAAGAAAACTGACAGTATTTTTTATTTTAAGATTTTATTTATTTATTTGACAGTGAGAGAGAGAGCACAAGCAGGGGGAGCAGCAGGGAGAGGGAGAGGGAGAAGCGGGCTCCCTGCGTGGGGCTCAATCCCAGGACTCCGGGATCATGACCTGAGCCGAAGGCAGAAGCTTAACCAACAGAGCCACTAGGCACCCAGAAAACTGATAGTATTCTTAAACAAGGAACATTTAAATGCCCCCCAAACTACAAATTTTCAGCCAAAATTTGCTCATGGTGTGAACAAGTCAGGATGAAGTCTAATACTAGGGATGTATGTTTCAATGTTAGACTGAGCCAAATGGATGAAGCAGTATCAAGGGGAAAAAAATTCTTGCAGTTTCAACTTGATACAGTTTCTTTTGGGGGGTAGGGGTAGTTATGGTTAACGGTTTTTTGGTCTCTGGTGCTTCACATAACCACCTATGATGGCTTCACTTTAAAGACAAAAGACTAACTTCTCTCAAATGTGATAAAACTGGAAATATATAATTGTTTTTACTTTGATGTTAGTTTTACTTAATTTTAAATTAAAGACCACAGGGTAGTTAACACTAAACCATGACTCTGAAGCCACCTAGAAAGATATGCCCTGTGGCTATGTTTCATTTCCGGAGCCAGCCAGGCCTGTATTACCACCTGCATCTGTGTTCGTAACTTCCTACCGTTACCTTCTGGAGCAGAAGTATTTGAGGCACAATGCTTTTCTGCTACCCCATGTTACCTTTAGAAAAGTCTCACACCAGAAGCATCAGGCTAACATTATATAATACATAGACAACTCTCTTTCAGAGGAAACTTTTTAGATTTTTTTTCTTCTGCTTTAAGCTTTATGACCCATCCAATACTCTTTTTCACGTGCTACTATGATTGACAAAGTGAATCCTGCTCATCTAAGGTACTATTCAAGATATGTTTCAAACCAGCCCACCAAACTATTTCCAAAGTTTTAAATTAAAATTGTATATAAGTTCAAGTTAATATGCCTAAAATCCCCATCAAAGAGGGAACATTTCATAAACATGTAAATAAATTGTTACAGAACGGGTGAAATATCCTTAATCCAGATATTCATTATACTGTTTATCCACTTGCCTGGCTGTTTGCTCACAGACATTTCCTTATAAAATAAGATTCAGTAATTCAATGAATTGGGAGAAAAGGAGTAAACCTTGTTCAAAATCTTGAGCTATTTAAAAGTGCTTTATAGTGCCTATTATAATGCAGGATAAGCATTGATGTTTTTCTATAATTTTCATAACAGTGAACATTATTAGCTATATAGCACTTCGTTTTTCAAAGCACTAAAAAATTTTAAACTTTTTGCTCAATAAAAATCTGATATCCCAATCTGAAACTCATGCAGTAAGCTTCTGTGACTACTTCAAATTTTGAATTAGTAAAGTAAAAATGAAGGATTAGACTTTTCTATTACTCTTTTAACTTTGTGTCTCCACAGAAAACAGAGGTTTCCAACATCTTCATAATCTAGTGAAAATCTCTAGAGGAAAACGTTCCCTTAGTTTCAACTCACTCTCCCCAAATTATACCATCACCAATGAAAAACGAACAAAAAAGACCCAAACCTAACCATCCAGCCCCCTCCCAAAAAATGCTCTTACCCGCTGCTTTTTAATATAGTCCTTTGAGGTATTCAATCAGGGTCTTTTCTTAGATAACATTCAGCTTTATCCATAAATGCATTCATTTACTGTCCTCATCCTTTACTCACTGAAGAATTAATTATGATGTATAAATACATATATTTCCTAATATAAATTTAGTCAGTGTAACATATCTAAAAAGGCATGTATCTCTGAATAGGACCAATAATTTTAAAAATCCTACAGTTTCAAATATGCAGCACCTCTGGTATAACTGCATTTATTAAGTCTCTAGGCATAGATGAGGGTAAACTTGAATCTTTGGTTCCTTGGCAATGAGTAACACTGACAAGTTGTATTTCCATGAACTAGCTAACTGCTTAATATGCAAGAATATCTTAAGTATTTTATAAACTTTATCTCACATAATCCTCATTTGACAGAGAAGAAAAAAGTGTCAGAATAAGCAATTTATTCTAAATCACACAGTCAGTGACAATGCCTGGAGGGATCTGAATTAACTTCTGACCCACCACAGAGGTACAGTATGAACAAGACTAGTAAATGCAATGAAGAAGCTATGCAATGAAGCCTGCAGGCTGGAGTCAGAAGACACTACTAGTTAACTAGTTATCTATGTGGTCTTGGGCAATCACCTCTCTGGTTTATGCCTCCGTTTCCTTACTAAACGATGAAGAAGTGGGGCTACTCAGATATGCACCAATTTTTTTTTTTAAAGATTTTATTTTATTTATTTGACAGAGAGAGAGATAGCGAGAGCAGGAACACAAGCAGGGGGGAGTGAGAGAGGGAGAAGCAGGCTTCCCGCTGAGCAGGGAGCCCGATGTGGGGCTCGATCCCAGGACCCCGGGATCATGACCTAAGCCGAAGGCAGACGCCCAACAACTGAGCCACCCAGGCGCCCTGCACCAATGTTTTTAAAGGTTTGTGTACTAAATGTTGCATATTCACAAATAGCCAGATTTTCAAGAATCTAAACTTCCTTTGTTTTTCAAAATTTTTAAATTTTGTTTTAGAGAAACCTGGGTGTCACTGAATTTCCTCAGGTGGCCAACCCAATCCCATCCTCAACTCTTTTCGCTTGTCCACCTTGAGGAACCTCTTAGAATAACACACTCAAAAGAAATACTTTCAACTCCAAAAGAATTGCTAAGTAAGATAAATTTTGCTGAAGGCTCTTCCTCAAAATCCTCTTTCCCTCTGCTTTTTCTCCAAAGTTCCCCTCCCCAGGATAGTGGTCATATTTCTTTCTCTTTCATATTTCTACCAATTTCTCTGGCCTCCTCTTCCACACTCTCTCAAAAACCTGTTTGCTTGTACCCAGCAAAATGAACATACAGGAGTAGGCCAAAATACATCTCAAGGAGTCCCAATTCATAACAGAAATCTTAATACAGTGTTTTACTTCCAATTGCTTTAACGTCTCCTGAATTATCCAGTTTTCTCCCCTGCCCTGCTTCAAAGCCACTGCCATATGGAGCCAATATAATTAATGAAAGTATGCAATACATAGTGAAAGTAATTCCATATTTGTTTCAAATTGTATGTAGTGTATCAGGTATTCGATTAAGAAGCTAACTGGAATTCCGTAGGCAAACATACTAAAAAGTACACATCTCAATACCCACCTTACAAACTGTGTGATTTTTATTAGACTTATTTGATTATGAAAAGAACAGTATTATTTCAGCCCACTTAGTTTCTTAAAACGTTCAGAGCTCTTTATTTATAGCATCTAGATCTTTTGGCAACAAGCGGGGCACAACTTACTCTCCAGAAGAGGAAAATCAGGTGAGGAAAAGGGGAGCCCCTTACATAGAGCAAACATCTGACACCAGTCCTTAACTCATGTACTCACCTAGACAGTGGGATTTAAAATCTAAATTATCATGAGGTTATCATGGATGATCATTTGCCCAGAATCAGTGATATAGTATGACAACAGTATTTTTGAACTTCAAGTGCAATTTGTGATTTTTCAATAAATTTATCTTGAAAAAAGAATGATATTCTATAAAGAATAACAAACTATTAAGACAGCAAAGGTAAAACCAAACTATGCATTAGGAAAAAACAATTCTAAATTCAGTACCCTAAATTACAGCAAGGAAAGCCCTCGCACCACCATTCACAAGTCTCAGTTCAAGCAATTTATTTTTGGCAAGCCAAATCACAGCTGTCAACGCTGGTTTTTTCCACCCCCAAATTACACAAAGTATTTTGAAAAAATGTAGACATCTTCAACTAGGGGAAAAGTTACAAATGCCGTGTGTCGTTATAAATGTTTAAAAAAAAAAAAAGTCACACGGAAGGGGGGGGTTAAAAAAAAAAAAAAGCAAACAAACAAACCCTGGAAGATGCAGCAGAGCCCCCTTGCTCCCGAAATAAAACTCCTGGTGGCTGTAACAGCAGCGGCAGCGCTACTCCCGACAGAAGTTTTCAGCTGTCACTTCTAACAGCTGAGCGCTTCCTAGGAGAGAAGCGACAGGCCGAGAAGAGAGGTGGTTGTGGGAGGTCTGAAGATTTAATACTTGAAATCTTACACTCGAAGGGAAACCCTTCAGCACTTCACCTGCACTTAAGGGACACCCAGAAAGCGCAGTCCCCCTCCCCCCAACATGCGCTTACACCACTCGCGCCCCGCCACACTCAAATTCAACAGCTCGAGGAATCGACCACGCGCCCTTTCTCGTCCCCTCAGCAAATAGACTGCTCCGGGCTGCGCTGATCTGGGGCTACCGGCGCGACCTGCACCTGCGAGCCCCGAAGCGGCCTCACACCTAGGGCCAGGTCCGCCCCGCCCGCTCCCCTGCCTCGGACCGCGCGGCGCCTAGCTCCTCCTGGAGACTACTCGCGCCCCCCCGGGTCTCCGCGCTCTCCAACGCGCCGGGCTTCCAGGGCCCGCGCCGCCGCCCCGGCCCTGTCACCTCGGGCCCCCCGGGACCCCGGGCCTCACCCCCTCCTCCAGCTCATCCTCAGAGCCCGCGTCCTCTGGCTGGTCCAGGTCTATGTCAAACACTCCTGCCATGTCCTCAGCTTCCCTGTCTCGGAAGTCCGGCGCTGGGTAAAAGCCGTCCCGCCTCCGTCGTCGCCTCATGGGCCCGGACCCGCCGCAGCCACCGCCGCTGCTGCCGCCATCACCGGCTGCTTGGGCTCAGTGAGTCTGCGCCTAGGCCCTAGACTGGCTCCTCAAGTTCAGCACTAGAGCATGCGTACAAGGTTCTGTGAAGCCAAACTGTGGGCAATGAACATGCGTAGAGCTATCTCCTGGAGCCAGGTACTAGCAGAAACATGCGCAGAACCCCAGCCGAAGCCTCTTATGGTAGCTGGATCGTGCGCATTCTCGGCTAAAGCTTTTGGTGGACAATGAGCATGCGTACCTTGTCTGAAGTTGATAAATTGAAATTGAACATGCGTAATTAACCTTTCTGAATAGAGGGGGAAAAAACACACACACACAACAAAATTCTTCGTTTGTGAACATGCGCAACTCGTTCTCCGTAGCCTTTTTTAAAAATCGAAAGTGAGCATGCGCATAATGAGGGGGTTGGCCCTCTGAAGTTTGAACGGGACGGAAACGGCTGGTTCTGGGTCTGCGAGTGAGTGGGGTTTATGGGGAGCTCCTGGGACTGGTAGGGATAGGGAGAAACTTGGTTTTGCTATTCTATTTCGGTGGCTTTGCGAAAGTCACATAACCTTTCAGAGTCTCAGTTTCCTTATCTATTAAATGAGAATTTAATTTGCAGGGTTGTTTGAACATTGTAAGTACATAACCTTTCAGAGTCTCAGTTTCCTTATCTATTAAATGAGAATTTAATTTGCAGGGTTGTTTGAACATTGTAAGTACAGTCTGCTCTTTCCAGTGCTGCGAAGACCTGGTGTGAGGTCTTTACCAAAAATTGTCTCTTTTCATTGTTAAAAATAGTGAAGACTTGCTCTCCTATTTCATCTAGTCCTCTCTTTCCAAGCTTTGTCTTCCTTGCTGTCTAAACAGAAGTCTTTCTTGTGTTATTGTAGTTACCAGGCCAGAAAGTGATTGGTAGAGAGAAAGTCATTAGTTAGAAGAGAGAAAATTAATGTTAATTAAAGGTACAGTTGTTGAGCTAACTTCTGTGTTCTGTGTGTCCCTGTAGTATAAAGTATGTACTAGGAATTCCTTCAAATAGCATTCATTTTGTTTTGTTTTGTTTTGTTTTAAATGCATGCTTAGGGACACAGTGAATACAAATCAGATTTCAGACACTATGGAGCTGTCTATGAATGCATTTGGGTACAGCAAATTCCAAATCCCAAAAATATGTAGAGAAAGAAAACAACTTCCTTGAATGATTAGCTCCTTAGACAACATAGCTATTTCATCTACAACACCATATATATGGCATTTTTAAATTATGTTTTTTATTGATGTACATCTGACATTTTATTTGTTCCTTGTTTATTGGTACTGTAGTGGTTCTCAAAGCCTATATTTTTCTATTACAGGTTGCTCACTTTTTTGAGGGAATAGGCCTAGTTTGCATCTCAGCATGTCAATAGTAACAGTGCAACTTGGTCAGTGTGGTAATCAGATTGGTTTTGAAGTATTTGATGCTCTATATACTGACTCACACTGTCCCCAGGGACTCTGCTCTAAAAGAGAGAATGAGGCATATCAAGCATCTTGCAAAGAAAGATTCTTCAGTGAGGAGGAAAATGGAGGTATGTGTGATCCATCTGTATTCCTCTCCTTTATCTGACACCTCTTCAAGGCCAGGTCCTCAATCCACATGGTGTCTGAACCCCATCTCTTCCCATCTTTCTAGGGAATGACTTTGCTCTCAGCCCTTTGTTTCTGTGTTAACAACCTTTGCCTCTCCACTGGCAACTTCCTGTCAGCATATGAGCATGCTCAGATCTCACCAACCTAAAACCAACCAACCAAACAACATACAACTACAGCTTTTTTTTCTTTTCTTTTCTTTTCTTTTGTTTTTTAAAGGTTTATTCCCTGGGGCGCCTGGGTGGCTCAGTCGGTTAAGCATCTGCCTTCAGGTCAGGTCATGATCCCAGGGTCCTGGGATCGAGCCCCGCATCGGGCTCCCAGGTCAGCAGGGAGCCTGCTTCTCCCTCTCCCTCTGCCTGCTGCTCCCCCTGCTTGTGCTCTCTCTCTCTGTCAAATAAATAAAATCTTTAAGAAAAAAATTTTATTCCATTTTGTGTATAGGCACTGTGGGGTGGTATAGAGTACAGAGATTTGGAATTTGGAATAAGCGTTGCAATTTTTTTTAAGTAAACTCTACCCGCAATATGGAGCTTGAACTCACAACCCCAAGATCAAGAGTCACATACTCTACCGACTGAGCCAGCCAGGCACCCCAAGCTTTTCTTTTCCTTCTTATCTCTCTACCTTCTCATCTAAGATTCTCAAACCAACTACAGTCCTGCTTTAAGCCCTACACCACTACTGAAGTGCTCAAAGAAAAGTTCCTAGGGGAGTGGAGGGATGGGGTAACTGGGTGATGGACATTGAGGAGGGCATGTGATGTAATGAGCATGGGGTATTATATAAGACTGATGAATCACAGACCTGTACCTCTGAAACCAATAGTACATTATATGTTAATTAAAAAAAAGTTCTGGGCGCCTGGGTGGCTTAGTTGGTTAAGCGACTGCCTTTGGCTCAGGTCATGATCCTGGAGTCCCGGGATCGAGTCTCGCATCAGGCTCCCTGCTCGGCAGGGAGTCTGCTTCTCCCTCTGACCCTCCTCCCTCTCATGCTCTCTGTCTCTCATTCTCTCTGTCTCAAATAAATAAATAAAATCTTTAAAAAAAATAAAAATAGAAAATAAAAAATAAAAGTTCCTAGTGGGGAACCTGGGTGGCTCAGTTGGTTAAGTGTCCAACTTTTTTTTTTTTTTAAGATTTTATTTATTTGACAGAGCGAGACACAGCGAGAAAGGGAACACAAGCAGGAGGAGTGGAAGAGGGAGAAGCAGGCTTCCCACCCAGGCACCCCAAGCATCCAACTCTTGATTTCAGCTCAGGGTTGTGAGATCGAGCCCCGCATCGGGCTGGATGCTGGATGTGGAGCCTGCTTAAGATTCTCTCTCCCTCTCCCTCTCCCTCTGCCTTTCCCCTCCTCCCTCTCTTAAAAAAAAAAAAAAGTTCCTAGTAATCTCCTAGATTCAGTGACTGTTTCTCTTTTCTCAGTTCACTTAACTTCTGTCCTGGATTTTATAACATTAACTATAAAACTCCTTATTTATTTATTTATTTATTTTTAAAGATTTTATTTATTTGACACAGAGAGAGAGCACACAAGCAGGGGGAGCAGCAGAGGGAGAGGGAGAAGCAGGCTCCCCACAGAGCAGGGGGAGCCTGATGTGGGACTCGATCCCAGGACCTGAGCCGAAGGCAGTCGCTCAACCAACTGAGCCACCTAGGCGCCCTTAAACTCCCTCTTTAAAACTCCTCCTCAGTCTCTGAATTTTTCTTTTCCAGTGGTTGCATCTCAGACTCTCTCTCCTCTGTCCTCACTGGTAGAGTTCTCTCTGGGCAATTTCAGTTACTCTTGTAATTTGCAACTTCTTTGACACTAGTGATTCTCAAATCTGCAGCCTAGCCTCTCTTCAGAGCTGCAGACTGATTAGTGGACATCTCCACCTGCATCTCCATGTGTACCTCAAATTCAACATCTCCATACCGTAGGGCATTCATTATTTTTCCTTTAGAACTTGGGCTCTTACTGCCCACATACCATCAAACAATCATCTGCTGCTTAATTTACCTCCTACATATCTCTTCTCCCCTTTCCATCTTCACTGCCATTGGCTTAGTTCTGGCTCTTGTCCTCTCTCACCTGAATTGTTTCAAGACATTCCTTCTAGTTTCCCTGCCTTGACTCTTGTGTCTATCATATCTACCTTCCACACTGCTGTATTTAAAAAGTCATCTGATGGGGCCCCTGGCTAGCTCAGTCGGTAGAGCGTGTGACTCTTGATCTCAGGGTTGTGAGTTCAAGCCCCACATTGGGTGTAGAGATTACTTAAAAAATAAATTGAAGGGATGCTTGGGTGACCCAGTCATTAAGCGTCTGCCTTCGGCTCAGGTCATGATCCCAGGGTCCTCGGATCAAATACTGCATCGGGCTCCGTGCTCAGCAGGGAGCCTGCTTCTCCCTCTGCCTGCCGCTCCCCCTGCTTGTACTCTCGCTTGCTTGCTCTCTCTCTCTGACAAATAGATAAATAAAATCTTTAAAAATTAATTAGTTAGGGGCACCTGGGTGGCTCAGTTGGTTAAGCGACTGCCTTCGGCTCAGGTCATGATCCTGGAGTCCCTGGATCGAGTCCCGCATCGGGCTCCCTGCTCGGCGGGGAGTCTGCTTCTCCCTCTCCCGCTCCCCGTTTGTGTTCCCTCTCTCGCTGTGTCTTTCTCTGTCAAATAAATAAATAAAATCTTAAAAAAAAAAAAAATTAATTAGTTAAAAATAAAAGCCAACTGACAATTCCTCACTTGCTTAAACATTTTCAGTAGTTTCACGTTATCTTATAGATAAATTTTTAAGCTTTTTAGCACTCCATACCAGGACTTCCAAGGTCTGAGCCCGGCCTGCTTTGGGTCGTACCACATCATACTGTGATTAAGTTTTATCTCTTGCACTACTGCTTCTAGGGCTAGATTGATGTTGTCTTCATTTCTGTGTTCCCAGCACAGTGCTTGGCACATTGTGAGCTCTCAACAGATATTTGTAGACCTGACCCAGGGATCATTTTAGCCCATACTGATTCATTCTACTTAGTAGAATGCTAGGCATTATGAACCATCTGTATATACCTGCTGCTGCCCACCTTAATTTCTAAGCAGTATGACAGATCTTTCTATCCTTAACCTTTGGACTTTTTTTTTTTTGGACCTAGAAATTTGTGCTCTGAAATAACCCAAATAAGACATATGAAATATTTTTCTTTTGGTCTTTTTGCTACCTCTAGTTCCAGTTGCCCGGGCTGTACTTGTTGATATGGAACCTAAAGTTACCAGTCAAACACTATCAAAGGCTGCCCAGTCTGGCCGATGGAAATATGGCCAGCATTCATGCTTCTGTCAAAAACAAGGTTCTGGAAACAACTGGGCATATGGGTAAGAGTAATTCCTCATGATTTCGGTTTAGATACAGCTACCTGGACGGCATAGTTACAGCTGCATAGTTGATATACCAAGCACATAATCTAGAAATTGCTATTTTAAAATTTAGAGAGTGACTTCACTCGGAAGAAACTCTTCATTCTATCTCATGTATGTCTGTGCTTCAGGTCCAGGTAATGATAAAACCAAGGATCTCTTGCTGCAGGGTTTTCCACTTCATCACTGTCGTTCCACCAACTAACTTATTATCAAAACAATATCTTTATCTGGCAGGTATTCCAGCTAATAGGGAACAAAACAAGGCAGTAGTATATCCTAGGGTTCTTTGGAAAATTCTGATGCCTGAAGTAAGACCCAGGCATTCTGATTTAATTGGTTTAGGATGAAGCCCGGGTATTGGGATTTTTATAAAGCTTCCCTCGGTAATTCTAATGTGCAGCAAAGTTTGAGAACTACTGCTTTAGGAGTATTATTATGAATATTGAATATTATTTTGTACCATAAGCTTGCAGAACTACCTGGTAACTGAAGTCTTCAGCTACAGGAATGGCCTATAAAAGAGAATTTTCTGTACCCAGTAAATTCACTCTCCCCACAGTCCTATTCACCTGTTCAATATATTTAACGTGTGTATTTTAAATTTTATCAGTCAGGGCACTTGTACCTTTCATGAGAGCTAGTTCACATCCATGGGTTTTAAAAAACCTTCCCTATCCTATATCTTCCTGTCTTGCCTCTTTCTGAATAAATTGAAAGGTGTTTGTATTTGTTTCTTTTGTGTTGCATAGTTACTCTGTTCATGGACCCAGGCATGAAGAATCTATAATGAACCTAATCCAGAAGGAAGTGGAGAAATGTGACTCTTTGAGTGGTTTTTTCATTATAATGAGTATGGCTGGGGGCACAGGATCAGGGCTAGGAGCCTTTGTTACACAGAATTTACAAGATCAGTACTCAAACTCTTTGAAAATGAATCAGATTATATGGCCTTATGGAACTGGTGAGGTATGAACATATTAACTGAAAATTTTTATATTTTGGGGGCGCCTGGCTGGCTCGGTTGGAAAAGATGTGACTCTTGATCTCAGGGTTTTAAGTTCAAGCCCCACATGGGGTGTAGAGATTACTTAAATAAAGCTTAAAAAAAAGAAAAGGAAAATTTTGTATTTTGTATTCTTTGAAGTGAAATAAATATAGGTAAAAGATTGATCTCACCCTTTCTTTGGAAATGTCAAGTCACTACATCAGGAGTCATTCATTATATAATATAGTACTTCTGTGAACAACTCATTTAACTTTGCTTAAACTTTTCTAAACGAATGAGGTGTCCTTGTTTTAAAAAATTCCAAAGGAGACAATTGTGCATCTTCTCTCAGGAACCCATTCCTGGATTAGTCCCTGTGGCTATAGTATGTAAAGGAGGGACCTTGACCTCATGTTGGGATTCATCATGCCATTGCCAACCTTCAAAGAATTTTCCTTTCTTTCCATTGAGAGGAAATGTCTATATAGATCAATTTCCTGTTGATCAGCCTTGTAAGAGAAATAATAAAATGGAGATGAGTTAAGTCACTGTAGGAAATGCTATAGGAAGAAAGTGTGATAGTAGTAATCACTGTTTTTTGAGCCCTTACAAACAGTAGGACACTGTTCTAAGTGCTTTACTTGCATTCTGTCATTAATCCTTACAACTCCAGGAGCTGGTATAAATACTGTCCCGGCTGTACAAGTGAGAAAACGGAGGCTTGGAGAGATTACATAACTTGTCCAAGATCATAGATCTAGAAAGTGACAGAGCTGGGATTTGAATCCAGGCAGGATGCCCTTCAAATCTATCCTCTTAACCACTCTTTTCCCTTGCCTTTTTTTTTTTCTCACTTTTCCTCTCCAGGTTATTGTCCAGAACTACAACTCCATTTTGACTCTTTCTCACTTGTACCGATCTTCAGATGCCCTCCTTGTTCATGAAAATGATGCTCTTCATAAGATCTGTGCGAAACTGATGAACATCAAGCAGATCTCCTTTAGCAATATAAACCAAGTCCTTGCACATCAGTTGGGAAGCGTGTTCCAGCCTACGTATTCTGTGGAAGGCTCATGTCACTACAGAAGAAATCCATTAGGTATTTGTCCTCTCTTATGTAATTTGTGGGGAAGTCTTATGTTCTGAAAGCCTCAAAGTTACTCCCCACTGGCTCTTCCTCTCTGTCTGAGGATACACTCAGGTTTCCCTCCTCTCAAAAACCTCCTAAAGAGCTACCTCACTCTCCAGCTGTCTTACTGAAGTTTTGAGAAGTTACTAAATTTCTGAAGAGTTGTGATACCCATTGACTCCATTCTTCAGGATCCTTTCTCTTCTTCTTCTTTTTTTTTTTTTAACAGCAACTTTGACATGTAACTCACATACCATACAATTCACTCATTTAAAGTATACGATTCCATTTTTAGTGTATTCACAAAGTTGTACAACCATCATTCTCATCACCCCATAAAGAAATCCATCATTCTTTTTTCAGCTTGTCAAGTGGTGCCTTATCAATTCAAACCATCTAGATGCAAATAACTCCATAATCTATACCCTCCTCAGTCCTAATCTCCTTCCCAAATAGTCGCCTATCCCAATTTTCTTAATTGTCTTCTGCTTCTTTAAATTTAGATTATTCTGACTAGATCCATCTTTTTCTCCTTCCCTCTCTCTCCAGCTCCCTCTTCCTTAATTTCTAACACCTGGATTTCTCCCACGGTCCTCATATCTAATCAGTATGTTCAGACCTGTTGGTGCCATCTCTGCCGTCTGCCTGCATTCTTCCCCCTCCTTCCCTGTCTGTCTGACATTGGTTCAGGGTGTCAATATCTCTCAACTAATACTGCATACTGTCTCTAAATACAAAGTAAACTAGCCTCTTTCTATTCTTTCTCTCCCCCTCCCCTCCCTCCCTCCCTCCCTCCCTCCCTCCCTCCCTCTCTCTCTCTCTCTCTTTCTCATAAAAACAGAGCTTACATCAAGTTGACATTCCTGTCTTAAGGTGGTCCTAACCCTGGATTCCTTCCTGTTTCCTGCCTCTTCCGCCTGCAGTCCATCTTGCACAGTGACTGCAAAAGAGCCTCCCCAATGCACAGGTCTAATTCTTGTACTCTCCTGTTCATCCTGTGGCCACATTTGTCAGAATTCCTTATCCTGGCCTCCACATTATGCCCTGAACCCTAACTTTCTAGCTTCATTACCTCCTGCCTCCTCTGCATGGATCCCTACCTACTTTTTATCCTATCTCCACTGTCTTCCTTCAGTCTGGTACTTTCCAGCCCTGATCCCTTTGCTCATTGTTCCTTCTCCTTAGTAATTGCTTCCTCCCTCCCTTCTTCACCTCTATTGAAACCTTAACTCATCCTTCAGTATCCAATTCAAGTGATAATTTTTCTATAAAGCTTTCCTACTGAGGCCTTTATGTAAAATAGCCCTCTTTTCTCTAAACTTTAAGGCATTCTCTGTATCTCTTTTATGTCACCTAATATTTTTTAGCTTTATTATTTCTTTAAGTGTGTTTGCTTACCTTTAAAAGTAACAGGTAGGGAAGTCTGGGTGGCTCAGTTGGTTAAGTGTATGCCTTCGGCTCAGGTCATGATCCCAGGGTGCTAGGATCGAGTCCCACATCAGGCTCCTTGCTCAGCAGGGAGCCTGCTTCTCCTTTTGCCTGATGCTCCCCCTGCTTGTGCGCTCTCTCTCCTCTGACAAATAAATAAATAAAATCTTAAAAAAAAAACAACTTTAAAAGTAACACGGGGGCTTGGGTGGCTCAGTCGGTTGAGCATCTGCCTTCAGCTCGGGTCATGATCTCAGGGTCCTGGGATCGAGCCCTGCATCGGGCTCCCTGATCAGCAGGGAGTCTGCTTCTCCCTCTCCCTCTGCTGCTCTCCCTGCTTGTGCTCTCTTGTTCATGCTCTCTCTCTCAAATGAATGTATAAAATCTTCTAAAAAAAAATTAAAAATTAAAATTAAAAAAATAAAAGTAGCACACACACACACCCCTATTCAAAGAGTGCAAAAGGGGGGCTGCCTGGGTGGCTCAGTCATTGAGCATCTGCCTTCAGTTCAGGTCATGATCCCAGGGTCCTGGGATCAAGCCCTGCATCAGGCTCCTTGCTCAGTGGGGAGTCTGCTTCTCCCTCCCCCTCTGCCTGCCGCTCTGCCTACTTGTGCTCTCTCTCTCTCTGTCAAATAAATAAAATCTGTAAAAAAAAAAACAAAACAAAAAACAAAGAGTGCAAAAGAGTATGCAATCAAAAGTTAGTGTCCTTCTCACCCTTTCCCAGATGTTACCACTGTCACTAACACCATGCATTTCCTTAGAAAGGGATTCTGTCATGTGCATATTATGTAGTCCCACTCATTTGCAGCTTCCTTGGAGACCTGTATCTTGTTAATTTCTCTGTATGTCATAGTACTTACCATGTTGCACATCTGTTTACTCAACCAATATTTATTGACTTCCTACTATGTGCCAGTCACTATGCTAAATGTTGGGGATCCAGTGGGAGCCAATGCAGACATTGTGTTCACTGTGAAATGGGAAGGAGAGACATTAAACAAATAAATTACACCAAGAACATATAATTAAAAACTGAGTGAAGTGCTCTGAAGGAACGAAGTACAGTTTCAGGAGAATGTGTCATGAAGAGATCAGACTTAGGCTACAGGGGCAGAGAGGGCTGCTCAAGGAAATAACACTTGAGCCGAGAGCTGGATAAGGACTCGGACATGACTTAGCCAAGGGAGGGAGGAGATAGTAGCATGTGCAGAGGGAATAGCACGAGCAAAGGCCTTGCAGCAGAAGGAAGCGTGGCACATCAAAAGAGAGAAATCCAGTGGCACTGGAGTGCAGAGAATGGGTAGGGGGTGCCTGAAACCTGAGGCTAACGTGGTGAGCAGGGGCAGGACTTGCAGGTCCTTGTAAGCCATTTAGAGGCCTTCCTCATCACCCAAAGAAAAGGGGAAAACTGCTAAACAATTTTAAGCAGATTATTGAAAAATCCACTGGACTGCCTGTGGATAGCTGATTGGAGGTTGAGTCTGCAGGCTTGTCTAGTGATTCCTCACTGGACCTCACTGAGAAAATAAAGGCACTTAGTCACACAGGAGCTCTCTCGACTCCCCACCACGTTTGCAAACCTTACTGTACTGTCTAGACTCACCTTTGCACTTCACCTGGTGTTAACAGTAGGAGAAGTGTCCTGCTCCTATCAAAGGCTGATCTCTCGCTTGGCTTCTGGGTCTCAATCCCTCTCCTTTTTCAGGGACTTAATTCGTCACTCATCTCTTGTCCTCCATGCATCTTTCCTGGATTACTGCCATTAACAACTCTCTGGCATCTCTCACACTGAAAATACCCTCCTTTGACCTCACCTCTAGTGACTGAACCCATTTCTCTGTTATTCTTTAGAACAACGCAAGGGTGTCTGCCCTTGTTGTCCTCTCCTCTTCATCTCTTTACTCTTCAGCCCACTCTGCTCTAGTTTCTCCAACCCCCACTTTTCTGAAATTGCTTTTTACAAGTCACAAGTATGTCCACATTGCCAAATTCAGTGGACCCTTTGCTGTCCTCGTTTCTATCAACCTGTCAGTAGAATTTGGCATGGCTGACCTTTGGTCTTCCAAATCTTCTCTTTGTCTTTTGTGACAGCCCTCTCCTGATTTTCCTTCTATCTCAGTGACTACTTCTTTTATTTCCTTCTTTTCTCTTCTTTTGGCTCCTCTTCCTTTTCCCAAGCTCTAAATGCTGGTCTTGGACCCTCTCCCTGATAACTGGCCCACTTTCATGGCTCTAAACACCATCTGTATTCTCCAGCCTGCTGGTTTATCTCCAACTCCGACCAATTCCCTTAGCTCCAGATTTCTATATCCAGCAGCCTTCCTGTATGACATCTGTATGTATACATTTCATGGACATCCCAAACATAATGTGTCAGAAACAGAGAGCTTTCTCCCAGAAGCTTGTTTCTTTCTCACTCCCTCAGTTGCTCAGTTTTAAAATCTTAGGTCTAGGGCTGCATGGAGCCTACAGGGGAAAAAAAAAAAGATTCTAAAATCTTAGGTCCAGCTTTCTTACAGTGAAGTCTACCATTGCCTCAATTGTATGTGATCCAGCTTCTGTCTTCTAGGTTCCCTTCTTTCCTGCCATTCTCTCCGTTCAGGGGCACAGCCTCAGGGGCCTCTTTACTCATCATACAGCCCAGCTCATTCTCACCAGGAGGTCTGTTCTTGCTGTCCTCATCAACTTCCTACTCCCTCTATCAGGAATATTCTCCTGGCCATTTCCCATTCATCTTCCCAGTCTCAGGTCGCTATTACCTCCTTAAAATGGCCTTCCATGATGATCCTATTTGAGGAGTGAGTGTCTATAATATCATCCCATTTGTTCCCTTCCCAGCACTTACCACTCTTTGACGTTGTTTTTGTTCACTTATTACCATTTTTATTCTTTGTTTCTAACCACTAGAATAGAGGCTCTGTGAAGGCAAGGCCTTGCTCACCACCATGTCCCCTGTCCTCAGAACAGTGCCTCTCATATAATAGGTCCTTGCTAAAGGGGACTAAATAAATGGAGCTAACAAGGATGGATTTGAAAGCAATTGGGGGTGGGGTAAAGTGCACAGGACTAGGTGATGGATTGGATCTGGAAAATGACATAAAGGGAGGTGTAGAGCAGAATTCGTGTGGCCCTGATTTGCATATCAGTATAAATTGTAGTGCTGTTCACTAGCGCTGGGGACGCTGAAAAAGGATGTGGTTTGTGGGGCACAGTACAGGGCAAGGAAAGAGGTGGGTCTTAGACGTGTTGAGTGTGAGGTGCCTTTGCCATACCTAATGGAAATGTCATGTAAGGAGTTGGCTGGAGGGCAGCTAACCTGGTCTTCCCACTTCAACCTTTGCCAACCCAGGGGCACCTAGGTGGCCCAGTCATTGAGCGTCTGCCTTCGGCTCAGGTCATGATCCCAGGGTCCTGGGATTGAGCCCGCATCGGGCTCCCTGCTCAGCAGGAAGCCTGCTTCTCCCTCTCTCACTCTCCCTGCTTGTGTTCCTGCTCTCGCTGTGTCTCTATCAAATAAATAAATAAAATATTAAAAAAAAAAAAAAAAACGGGCACCTGGGTGGCTCAGTCGGTTAAGTGTCTGCCTTCGGCTCAGGTCATGATCCCAGGGTCCTGGGATCGAGTCCCACATCAGGCTCCTTGCTCGGTGGGGAGCCTGCTTCTCCCTCTCCTCCCCACTTGTGCTCTCTATCTCACTATCTCTGTCTCTCTCCTTCAAATAAATAAAAAAAATCTAAAAAAAAAAATTAAAAAAAATAAAACAAAAACCTTTGCCAACCCACAGTCTTTCCTTAAGTATAGCAGCCAGAACTCTGACTTTGTCTAAAAGGTTAAATCCTGTTAGATCCTGTTACTCTCCTACTCAGAACCTTCAAGAGGTTTCCCGTCTCACCCAGAGTTAAACCCAAAGTCCTTGGAGTCATATGTAAGGCTTTGCTCTGTCTGGTTTCCCACTGCTTTGTTGATCTTATATCCTGCTACTCACTCTCTTCCAGCCACATTGGCCTCCATGCCGTTTCTCAGGTATGTCTGCCGTGCTCCAGAGTCTCTGCACTAGATGACCTCGGATATCCACATGGCTCCACTCAGGTGTTTGAGGAGATGGCACCTTTACAACAAAGCATCAGTGTTAGTGGGCAGCAGTGTTTGGCATCTAAATTCTGAGGGGTCCCATCCGTGAGATGGGGCAACTTGCTAAAGCTGTGCTTTGACAGGCACAGAGAACGTGAGGATAGAGGCTGGTCCAAGACTGGGTTTTCACTAGAAAGATCTGATGAAGAGAAAAGGGCAAGTAGCTGGGTTTGGAGAGAAGTGAAGCAAGGGGAAGACTAATGGACTGAGAAGTCAAAGTCCGTGGGTTAGTTAGTCTTATTCCATAGGCTGCTATAACAAAAGTGCTGTATACTAGGTGACTTATAAACAACAGAAATTGATTTCTCGTGGTTCTGGAGTCTGGGAAGTCCCAAAATCGAGGCAGCAGTGGTAGAGTCTGGTCAGGGCCTGCTTCCTGGTTCTCAGATTGCCTTCTCACCATGTCCTCACACGGCAGGAAGGGCTAGAGAGCTCGGTAGGGCCCCTTTTATAAGGACACTAATCCCATTCAGGAGGGCTCCACCCTTACCATACCATCACCTCGGGGGTTAGGATTTCAGTATATGAATTTGAGGGGGGAACAAACCTTCAGTCCAAAATAGGGTCTCAATGGGTCCCAGAATGGTTAAAATGAGAGTGGGTGAACAAGAAGGCTGGAGGGAAAAGTAGACTGTGACAATTAATAATTCATGTATTAGTGCTCAGGCTATGTCCGTTGACTGTTACTTGTTTATTTGTGCCATGCAATAGAATTCAGCTCTAGGTATTTTGCAGAAAAGGATTTTTATGTTTAGAGGAAACTCCATTGGCCATAAGATCAATTTGTGCAGCACTTTGTAGACGTTTTTGTCAAAATCTGTTCTTTTCCTTAGGATATACGATATGAGTTTGTACTGTTATAAAATTTACATTTCATGTTGTTATAGTAATATATTTTTCTCCCTCCTCTAGTTTTTTTCTATAAATGTACAAAACAGCTCTGAATGCAAAACAAATTAGCCTTTCTCCTTAATCCTGTTTCATTACAAATATAAGTTTCTAAAGATAGGCATATTCCTGTCTTTAGGAATCACTGATCGTGTCTTTTTTCCTAGAAGAGTTTGATTTAAAAGGTTCTGATTACCATTTAACTAGGTAAAATAAATAAGAGATCTATGAAAATTTTCTAAAGGAATGTTTAGTGACTATAAAATGATGATAAAAGCATAGTCGTTCTCTTGCTTACTTTATTTTCCTGGGGTGTAGCTAAATATTTCATTCATGTTTCCAGTTTCTTAGCTTCTAAATTCTTGTTTCCTTTTTGGCAAAGTGTCTTTTCTCACTCGTGCTAAAATAGGTGCCAAAATATGTAATCTGAAATAGACATTGTCTCTGAAATTCTATTTTTCTTTTTTTTTTTTTTTAAAGATTTATTTATTCATAAGAGACAGAGAGAGAGAGGCAGAGGGAGAAGCAGGCTCCCCGCCGAGCAGGGAGCCCCTTGCGGGATTCGATCCCAGGACCCTGGGATCATGACCTGAGCTGAAGGCAGACGCTTAACCATCTGAGCCACCCAGGCGCCCTGAAATTCTATTTTTCTATTTACGTTTTTAAATTTAAGCAATTCTGGTCTTGGAGGAGAAAACATGTTTGGCCCCTAAAACCATCAAACCACAGTTGTGTATGGGCCAATGGAAATGTAATGGAATTTAAAAGTTTAGTTCAGATTTTTTTTTTTCTTTACAGGAGACTTAATGGAGAATTTAGTTCCCCATCCTGAATTCAAGATGCTGGGTATTCGTAACATTCCTCAAATGTCTGAGAACTCACTGGCATACAGCACATTTACTTGGGCTGGCCTCCTCAAACATCTGAGACAGATGCTCATTTCTAATTCAAAAATGGAAGAAGGTAAAGGGTATTTTAAAAATATGCAGGCCACAAGCTGGGAAAAGTGCCTGTACTGGAATTCTCAATTTAAACTTGCTTGGCCAGTTGAAATAATGGTGCCTTCTTCTGGTGAGGGAGGCCACCTCAGAAACTCACCAGGACATCCCAGGAGGGTTCCTTAATCACTTCACAGTTTCATTTCCCAAAAATGAAAAAAAATTTCAGAGGAGCGTGACATTTATTTTTTTTAAGGTTATTTATTTATTTATTTTTAGTAATCTCTACACCCAGCATGGGACTCAAATTCACTAACCCGAGATCAAGAGTCGCACACCAGCTGTCGCTATTTCATTTTATTTTTATCAGAGTGATATATGCACGTATTTTTAAAAAATCAAATAGTCAAACCTGCTGATATTAAGCCTTCTTCAATTCATCCAGGTTCTGTAGGGCATGTTCTGCCTGTCCATTAAATGTTAATGAATCCTAAAAAAAAAAAAAAAAAAATCAGATAGTCAAAACTCATCTAAGTGTATACTTATATCCGTACATTGCATTGTATGTAAGTTATATCTCAGGTTTTTTTTTTAAAGCCAAGTAATTGTCCAATAGGAATTTATAACAAGGAAAAGAGCAGTTCCCTGTCCTACACGTCCCCCCTGCCCCAATGAAACTACTTTCAATGTTTTTACCTGTTTTTTTCTGGAATTCCCCTCCATATTTCTAAGTATCTTGCTTATACTGTTACTTATTTTATATTTTATGGTTACAACATACTTTTGAATTAGATTAGTTTTCAGTGTTTATATTACTCTTGATAGGTAGATATTATTTACGGTTGAGCCACATACTGTATACATAGATTAAATCCTATTTCATGTACAGTTAATTTTTTCTTCCTCTGGTTGATAATTACACTTATTTGGGTTATAAGACACTTACTTGTCTGGCTCAGTCGGTAGAGCATGCAACTCATGTTCGAACCCCACACTGGGTGTAGAGACTACTTTACAAAAATTATACTTACTTGGTCAGTATTCTGTGTGCCTATCACTCATCTATCCCTAAATTTTTCCATAAAAATGGATCCCTTCTCCACATATTCAAACCCATCAGGTACTCTCTTACTTTCACTGTCTGCTTGGAAATGTCCCTTTTGGAGACCTCATCCTCTTGTTGCTGCCCTGGTTGCTCTCCGGGCTTGATGAGCAGCCAGCACCGACATCTCTGCCTCATTCTGTGTTCTATCTGATTTCCGAGATTTCACATCTGCCTTTTTTTTTTTTTGGTTTATTCCCTCATATTGATAGACCACACTCTCCAGGAGCTTCCGAAGAAAAAGAGTACAGGGAAGGTAAAAAAAAAAATTTAAAGCTATATAAATGTCATTATTCTGCCCTTACATTTGATTGATAGTTTGCTCAGGTATAGGATCTGAGGGTGGGGAGTCATTTTTGCTCAGAATTTTGAAGGCATTGTTCTGTTACCTTCCAGCTTCCAGTGGTGCCGTGAAGTCCAACGTCAATCTGATTCCTAATCCTGTTTTGTTCTCTCTTGAATCTTTTAGGATTTCCTCTTTGTCTCTAACATTCTGGAATTCCTTAGTGTGGATCCTCCATTATCTCAGTAGAATGTAAGCTTTAGAAGGGCAGAGACTTCTATCTGTTTTGTTTCCTGTTGTATGTTCCGAGCCTGGAACACAGGGCCCAGCACGGCGGCCAGAGCCTCCCTGGGTTAGCCTTTCCTGAGCAGACGGCTTCTAGGGCGAAGCGGGGCACACCCTCTGCTGCCGGGAGTGAGGACATCTCAGGCTCTCCCCACTCCGCGTACTAATGCTCTTGTTTTCCCCTCTTTCAGAAGTCCTGGCCTGTTTCCAGGACCTCTGCTGGGGGCAGAAATATCAGCTTTCTCTGGTTGCTAAGTCAGCCACTGCTGGTTCATTGGCTTGCCAGCTTCCAGTGTTGTTCCCATGATCTTCTCTTCCCTTCCCTGTTTTCTTGTTTATGCCTTTTAAAAATGTCCGTGATTGTCTTGTTAGTGAGATTTTGGGAGAGAGGGACAGTAGACTGGTATGTTCAGTCTGTCATGTTTAACTGGAAATCACTACTATTAGTGATTATTTGAGCAGCATATATTTTATCACAAATAACAATGACAGGTTTCAATACTATGAAAGCGGATGGATTTCCTCTACATTTACGTACCAGTGATACCTTATGGATTGTAGATCATAGTGCCTGAGATCTGGAGATAAATAGAAATGTTACATCTTAAAGGAATGCTTACCAAATTTTTTGGCCTCAGTACCTGTTTTTCTAGTAATACCTATTAACATCTCAAGGAACACAGTGTTCCTCAGGGTATAGTATAAGACGTGCTGCTCTGAGCTCTCTTAGGTCAATAAACCACAGTTTGCTTAGTCATTTTCCCATGCAGAATCTTGAGTGTCAACATTTTTTCACAGTAATAGATACAGCTTTGAACATATAAATATTTTCATATAAGTATATATGAATAAATGTATTTATGTCAACAGGTTGAGACAAATAGCTTTAAAAATCTTCATATATATATATGTATATATATATATACGCCCCCAAGAAACTGCCATATAATGGTGCCTTCTTCTGGTGAGGGAGGCCCCCTCAGAAACTCACCAGGACATCCCAGGAGGGTTCCTTAATCACTTCACAGTTTCATTTCCCAAAAATGAAAAAAAATTTCAGAGGAGCGTGACATTTATTTTTTTTTAAGGTTATTTATTTATTTATTTTTAGTAATCTCTACACCCAGCATGGGACTCAAATTCACTAACCCGAGATCAAGAGTCGCACACCAGCTGTCGCTATTTCATTTTATTTTTATCAGAGTGATATATGCAGCGGGGAGTCTGCTTGAGATTCTTTACCTTTGCCCCTCCCGCCCTCACTCACACTCTCTCTAAAAATAAATACATCTTTTTAAAAGGAAGGGAGGGAGGGAAAGAAAGGAAGAGAAAGAAAGAAGAAAGAAAGAAAAAAAGAAACCTCTCCTAAAGCCATCTGCCCTGCTTCAATTGAGACTTTTTGCCCTCAACAACCAGGGGACACTTGTCACCCTGGATATTCTCTTTGCCTGTCTCCTGGGTTGGATATTCTGCTGTGAAGGTTTAGGCAAAGCCCAAGTGATCTGGGGAAAGAGGAGGGGAGGGGTCATGGTTTTTTTGGGTTTTACTAGATCTCTCTGGTTTCATTATGTACCTTACCCGTAACTCTGCCTTGTGCTCTCCAGACCAGAGACCCTCAATCATATCCTCTCCAGAATGTAAACCTTTAGTTTTATGCTGGGGTAGGGAAGAGGCAGTCGTCATGCTAAACAGACAAGTTTAGCAACATTCCTTAATCAGGAGTCAAACATAGATGGTTCTCTACATGATAGCAAAGCTAGTTTAAGAGCCAGTGACTTAGTGTTTTCATGGATCCCCTTAAAGAATGGTGTATCACCAATGCTGTGCAGAGACAGAGGACAGTAATGTGTGAAAAAACATTGGCATCATTAACGCTGAGTCAAAAAGTGAGAGTCACTGTGAAAACATTTTAGAAAAACCTTAACCAATTTATTTTGTTACATTTTTTATGGTTGCTCAAGAATGATACGATTTTTAAAAATCTAAACCTAATTTACTCTAAAAGAACTCTTTCAATAAGTATAAAATTTAATGATCTAAATGAATCATTTAATTGACATAATTTGACATTTTTTTCTCTTATAATCAATGGTGTCTTAGATGGAAGGAAATACAACATTGTGGATTTATATCCTTTTTTGTTACATGGGTTGCAAATATTTTTCTCCATCATTTTTGTCTTTTGTATTGTATTTTTCACCATATGGGGGTTTTCCATTTTTATGTGAGCCATATATCTTCCTATTTTATAGATTCTGAGCCTTGCCTCAGATATAAAATATTTAGTATTCCCCAGTATTTTTATAGTTTTATGTTTAATATTTAAGTTTTAACCCATCTGGGGCTTATTTTTATTTCTGATAATGCCTTTTTTGTTACTTCTCTTCCCATTTTAAATTTTATTTGCTTAACTTTTCCCTTTTCATTTTTTATAAAACGTTAGTTTTTCAAGGGCCTAACTTTGGAAGGCTTCATTTCTTTATTCTTTTTGAAACTTTTATTTATTTATTTTTGGAACTTTTACATAATGTTGATTACCTTTTATTTCTAGGTAATATAGAGTGATGAATTATCTAACAAATACAGCTTTTAGGGGGGCCTGGGGGCTCAGTCCGTTAAGTGTTCCTGCTGAGCGGGACCCTGCTTCTTCCTCTCCCTCTGCCACTCCCCCTGCTTGTGCTCTCTCTCTCTCTCTCAAATAAATAAATAAATAAATAAATAAATAAATAAATAAACAAACAAACAAAATCTTAAAAAAAAAACTGGCTTGTGATAATGGTTGCATAACTCTGCAAATTTACTAAAAACATCACCGAGTTATACTCTTATCATAGGTGAAGCATATGGTATATAAATCACACCTCAGTAAAGATATTTAAAAATTTATGACCTACTGTAAAAGCTGTATTTGTTTGTTTTTTAAGATTCCATCTATTTGGCAGAGAGAGAGCACAAGCGGGGAACGGCAGGCAGAGGGAGAGGGAGAAGCAGGCTCCCTGCTGAGCAGGGAGCCCGATGTGGGGCTCAGTCCCAGGACCCTGGTGTCATGACCTGAGCCTAAGGCAAATGCTCTGAGCCACCCAGGCACCCATATCACAAGCCAGTTGTAGAACATGTCCATCACTTCAAAAAAATCCTTGTGTTCATTTGCAGTCAATTCTCATTTTTATTCCTACTCCCAAACAACCACTGGTGTGCTTTCTGTCTCTATAGATTTGCCTCTTTTGGACATATAATATAAATGGAAGTAGACAATATATAGTCTTTTGTGTCTGACCTTTTTCACTTCGTGTCTTTGAGGTTCATCCACGTTGTAGTATATATCAGTAGTTCAATCTTTTGTATTGCTCCTGGGTTGGATTTTGCATTGCATTAGATGGATATACCACATTTTGTTTAGATGTCCAACAGTTGATGGATGGTTAGCTTGTTTTCACTTTTTGTCTAAATGAATAATGCTGCTGCGTACATTTGTATAAAGTCTTTGGACATATGTTTTCAGTCTCTCTTTTTTTTTAGACTATCTCACAAACGTGCGATTTACAATGACTTTTTTTTTTTTTTTAAGATTTTATTTATTTATTTGACAGAGAGAGACCCAGCCAGAGAGGGAACACAAGAAGGGGGAGAGGGAGAGGGAGAAGCAGGCTTCCTGCAGAGCAGGGAGCCTGATGTAGGGCTCGACCCCAGGACCCTGGGATCATGACCTGAGCCGAAGGCAGACGCTTAACAACTGAGTCACCCAGGCGCCCCCAGTCTCTTGATTATATACCTATAAGTGGCATTGCTGGGTCAAAGGATAAGTCTGTGTTTAATGTTTTGTAAAATTGCTATACTTTTTCCAAAGTGGCTACACCATTTTACATTCCCACAAACAGTTTAAGAGGGTTTCAGTTTTTCCACATCCTTGCCAACATCTGACATTGTTAGTCGTTTTGATTATAGCCATTCTAATAGGTGTTAAGTAATGTCTCCTTGTGTTTTTTGTGTTTCAATTTGTGTTTTCCTAATGACTGTGATGTTGAGCATCTTTTCATATGCTTGCTAGATTTGTTTATCTTCTTCGGTGAAATTCTGTTCAAACATCTTTCTGACTTTTAAATTGGCTTGTTTGTCTTATTATTGAGTTCAGCATGCCAAAATTTTTGGTTTCTTGTGTTTCTATTTTTGTTGAAAATCAATCTGTTGCTGTGTGCTGAATTTTATCCCTATCCCACGTATACTTTAAGAGTATTTTCTTTTTTTTAATTTAAATTCAATTAGCCAACACATAGTACATCATTAGTTACAGATGTAGTGTTCAACAACTCATCAGTTGTGTATAACACTCAGTGTTCATCATATCACGTGCCCTCCTTAATGTCCATCGTTCACCCAGTTGCCCCATCCCCTCACCTGCCTCCCTCCAGCAACCCTCAGTTTCCCATAGTTAAAGAGTCTCTCATGGTTTGTCTCCCTCTCTGACTTCTTCCCCTTCAGTTTTCCCTCCCTTCCCTTATGATCCTCTGCACTATTCCTTATATTCCACATATGAGTGAAACCATAAGATAATTGTCTTTCTCTGCTTGACTTATTTCACTCAGCATAATACCCTCCAGTTCCATGCATGACAATGTAAATGGTAAGTACTCATCCTTTCTGATAGCTGAGTAATATTCCATTGTATATATTAAGAGTATTTTCTTGGGGCACCTGGGTGGCTCCATCGTTAAGCGTCTGCCTTCAGCTCAGGTCATGATCCCGGGGTCCTGGGATCGCATCGGGCTCCCTGCTCCGGGGGAAGCCTGCTTCTCCCTCTCCCACTCTCCCTGCTTGTGTTCCCTCTCTCGCTGTGTCTCTCTCTGTCAAATAAATAAATAAAATCTTTTTTTTTTTTTAAGATTTTATTTATTTGCGAGAGAGACAATGAGAGACAGAAAGCATGAGAGGGAGGAGGGTCAGAGGGAGAAGCAGACTTCTGCTGAGCAGGGAGCCCGATGTGGGACTCGATCCCGGGACTCCAGGATCATGACCTGAGCCGAAGGCAGTCGCTTAACCAACTGAGCCACCCAGGCGCCCCTAAATAAAATCTTTTTTAAAAAAAGTATTTTCTTAATATTTCTACATGACTGGTCAGTTTTCAATCCTATTTTTGTTTTGTTTCTACATCCCTTAACATTTTTGTATGTATTCTGTTTGTTCCCACAGGTGTATAAAGTAAGGTTCACCCTTTTTAGGTGTATGGTTCTATGAATTTGGACAAACCTCTATAATGTGTAACCTCCACCACAATTGAGATAGAATGTTTCCACCATCCTGAAAAGTTCCTTCATACTTTGTAGGCACTCTCTGCCCCCCACTCCAGCCCCTAGCAACTACTGATCTGAATTTCATTCCTTTGGTTTTGCCTTTTCCAGAATGTTCTATAAATGGAATCCTACAGTATGTAATTTTTTGAGTCAGGCTTGTTTCACTCAGCATAATGCTTTTGAGATTTATCCCTGTTGTTTGTTATGTGCATTAGTAGTTTCTTTTTACTGGTGAGGAGAAACCCATTGTGTGCATATACCACCATCCTTTAATACTCTGAAGAATATTTCATGCCTTTCTCAGGATTGAGTAGTTTGAATCACTTTAGGTCAACCAGATAAGAATTTTTAAACATTTAGTAGAAAAAGCAACTTTTACTTATCAAATAAAAATTTATGTAAAATATACATACCGTAATATGTTTTTCTCTTCTTGCTCAGAGCTTTTTTTAAAATCTCTTGCTTCTTTTCCTTTGGTAGGTATTGATTGGCAGGTACGGCCTCCTTTACCAGGACTTCCTACTCTGGGTAAAGCGTCTCTCAACAGGGGGCTTCATTTTAACATGTCCATCGCCAACTTGGTCATCCTTCGTGGGAAAGATGTGCACAGTGCGGATCTGGGTAAGTGGAAGTTAAGGTGCAATTAATATGTACATTTTGTACATCTACATGGTAACACATTTTTTTTTTAAAAGGAAGTCCCTGAATTTATTTTTAAAGAAAGGAAAATCATAATTTTGTGTTTTAGTAGCAAAATGTAACCATCGTATCAGTTAGTATGTGACCGGACACCAAAAATAGAAGTGATTGAAACAAGATACAGGTTTAATCTTCTTCTGAACCTTGCTGTTCTTATTGTCCTCACCTTATAGCTTCCTCCTTGTAGTCCAAGGCATTTGTCTGAGCTTCACCATCAAATCACTTAGGTATGAGCATGCCGCCCGCCTCCTCCTAGGGTTGCACACCATACTAGTGTTTATATTACCTTTGACTGGGGCTGACTCATGTGCTACAGCTAGCTGCAAGAGTGGCCATGAGCACAGTTAAAATTCGGGGGTTCTCTTACTAAAGAAGAAGGGGAGAATAGGGCATGTAGCATAACTAGTGGTCTCTGTGACAAGCATTTTGTTAACAAAACTTTCAGGAAGTTCGAAGAGCAGTAACCTGTCAGCTTTGTATTTTTATGGAAAATCTCCAAGTTTGTCTTATCTTTATTTGGTGGTTTTGTTTTATTTTTTTAGAGATTTATTTATTTATTTTGGAGAGAGAGAGTGCATGCGCGAACGAGGGGAGGGACAGAGGGAGAGAGTCTCAAGCAGACTCTGCTGAATGCAGAGCCTGAAAGGGCCTTGATCCCACGACCCATGAGATCACGACCTAAGCCAAAACCAAGAGTTGGATGCCCAACCAGCTGAGCCACCCAGGTACTCCTTATTTGATGATTTTAGCAGTATCAAATTGGCTGCTTCTAGCTGTGATATAAAGAAAACCAGTCCCACATCGGGCTCCTTGCTCAGCAGGGAGCCTGCTTCTCCCTCTGCCTTCTGACCCCCCTGCTTGTGCTTTCTCTCTCTGACAAATAAATCTTAAAAAAGAAAGAAAGAAAGAAAAGAAAGAAAGAAAACCAAATAATCTAGTTCCTGTAATACACCTTTGATAAGAAAGTGGTAATTAAAAGGGATCATTTCAAGTCTGTCAAATGGTATACTTTCTCCCACCTCAGAACATTTTCTTCATATTCTTCATTGTAGATTTTAAATTAAGAGAATTAATAAGAGGATATATAAAGTAATCAAACTTCCAAAAATGTATCCACAGCAAATGACATACATACAGAGAGGTGTTCTTGCAAAGATATTCACTGAAATATCTTTCACACAGAAATGCAGAAACAGGGCGCCTGGGTGGCTCACTCGTTAAGCGTCTGCCTTCAGCTCAGGTCATGATCCCAGGGTCCTGGGATCGAGTCCCACATCGGGCTCCCTCCTCAGGGGGAAGGCTGCTTCTCCCTCTCCCATTCCCACGGCTTGTGTTCCTGCTCTCACTATCTTGGTCTCTGTCAAATAAATAAATCAAATCTTTAAAAAAAAAAATGCAGAAACAACCTAAATGCTCAACAGTAGGAAATGTGTTAAATAAATTATGGTATACTCATATAATAAAACTTTATGAGTGATATTTATTGACATGGAAAAGAGGTTCACAACATATTACTGAATGAAAACAGATTACGGAACAGCGTTTTTGTAAAATTACAGATACAAGGTCAGCAAAATGTTCATGGTCTTCTCTGGGTGGTAACATTTCAGATGTTAGTTGACTTTTAAATTTTCTTTTTTTTTGTTTGTTTCAAGTTTTTACTTAAATTCCAGTTAGTTGGGGCGCCTGGGTGGCTCAGTCATTAACCGTCTGCCTTCGGCTCAAGTCATGATCCCGGGGTCCTGGGATCGAGCCCCACATCGGGCTCCCTGCTTGGCGGGAAGCCTGTTTCTCCCTCTCCCTCTCCCCCTGCTTGTGTTCCCTCTCTCGCTGTGTCTCTCCCTGTCAAATAAATAAAATCTTTAAAAAATTAAATAAATAAATAAATTCCAGTTAGTTAACATATAGTGTAATACTAGTTTCGGTGTCGGATTTAGTGACTCATCAGTGACACACAACACCCAGTGCACATCACGGGTGCCCTCCTTGATACCCATCACCCATTTAGCCCATCCCCCGCCTACCTCCCCTCCAGCAACTGCCAGTTTGTTCTCTGTAGTTAAGAGTCTGTTTTATGGTTTGCCTCTCTCTCTTTTTTCCCCTATGTTTGTCCCTTTTGTTTCTTAAATTCCACATACGAGTAAAATCATATGGTATTTGTCTTTCTCTCACTGACTTATTTCATGTAGCATAATACACTCTAGCTCCATTCATGTTGTTGGAAATGACAAGATTTCATTCTGTTTTATGGCAAAGTAATATTCCATTGTATATGTATACCACAACTTCTTTTTTTTTTTAAGATTTTATTTCTTTATTTCAGAGAGATGAGAACACGAGCTGGGGGAGGGGGACAGGGAGAGGGAAAGAAATCCTCAAGCATACTCCCCACTAAGCGGGGAGCCTGATGCAAGGCTCGATCCCAGGACCCCAAGATTATGACCCAAGTGGAAATCAAGAGTCAGACACTCAACCAACTGAACCACCCAGGCGCCCCTGTATACCACAACTTCTTTATCCATTCACAGTCAATGGACATTTGGGTTCCTTCCATAATTTGGCTATTGTTGGTAATGCTGCTATAAACATCAGGGTGCATGTGTCCCTTTGAATCAATATTTTTGTATCCTTTGGGTAAATGCCTACTAGTGCAATTACTAGGTCTGAGGGTAGCTCTATTTTTAACTTTTTGAGGAACTTCCATACTGTTTTCCAGAGTGGCTGCACCAGTTTGCATTCCCACCAGCAGTGTTAAGAGGGTTCCTCTTTCTCTGCATCCTCACCCACACCTGTTATTTCCCGGGTTGTTAATTTTAACCATTCTGACTGGTGTGAGGTGGTATCTCATCATAGTTTTGATTTGTATTTCCCTGATGATGAGTGATGTTGAGCATCTTTTCATGTGTCTGTTGGCCATCTGGATGTCTTCTTTGGAAAAATGTCTATTCATGTCTTCTGCACATTTCTTAACTGGATTAACTGTTTTTTGGGTGTTGAGTTTGATTAGTTCTTTATAGATTTTGGATGTTAACCCTTTATCAGATGTTATTTGCAAATATCTTCTCCCATTCTGAAGGTTGCCTTTTAGTTTGGTTGATTGTTTCCTTCGCTGTGCAGACTTTTTGTCTTGATAAAATCCCAATAGTTCCATTTTTGCTTTTGTGTCCCTTGCCTCCAGAGACGTATCTAGTAAGAAGTTGCTATGGCCGGGGCGCCTGGGTGGCTCAGTTGGTTAAGCGACTGCCTTCGGCTCAGGTCATGATCCTGGAGTCCCAGGATCGAGTCCCGCGTCGGGCTCCCTGCTCGGCAGGGAGTCTGCTTCGTCCTCTGCCTATCCCCTCTCATGTGTTCTCTCTCAAATAAATAAATAAAATCTTTAAAAAAAAAAAAAAAAAGTTGCTATGGCCAAGGTCAAAGAGGTTGTTGCCTGTGTTCTCCTCTAGGATTTTGATGGTTTCCTGTCCCCCATTTAGGTCTTTCATCCATTAAATTTTCTTCGTAATACTTTTCTGAATGGTGTGAATTATTTTTTTTACAATGAATATGGATCATCTATGCAAAAGCAATATAAAGCTAGTTTTAAAGATTTTTATTTATTTTTGTGAGAGAGAGAGTGCGCACACGAGCAGGGGGAGGGGCAGAGGGAGATGCAGACTCCCCACTGAGCAGGGAGCCTCGTGCAGGACTCATCCCAGGACCCTGGGATCATGACTTGAGATGAAAGCAGACGTTTAACCAACTGAGCCACCCAGGCACCCATAAAGCTAGTTTTAAAAGGCAAAACAAAAGGAGACTTCTGGTGAAATGAATAAGAAAATATGTTTATTAATTTGTTTCCAAAATTAATGATTTATGATGTAAACAATGGCTTGTGTTGTTTTACTCTAGGAGGATTTAAAGATTCAGCTCTCTATACTTCTTGGTTAGAGCCTATTAATGCTTTCAATGCGTGGAAAACCCACCGAGCCTTTAGCAAATATGAGAAGTCTGCAGCATTGGTCAGCAATAGCCAGTTCTTACTAAAACCACTTGATACGATTGTGGGCAAAGCGTGGAATATGTTTGCTTCAAAGTAAGTAAAAAATAAATCTACAAACCTTTCTAACCTTAGGCAGATAATATCTTAAAACACAAGGCAGGACCTGGAATGTTTTAGTCTGTTTGGTTTGCTGTAACAAAAATAGCCCAGACTGGGTATCTTATAAACAACAAAATTTATTTCTCAGGAGTTCTGGAGACTAGGAAGTCCAAGGTGAAGGTGTTGGCAGATTCGATGTCTGATGAAGACCTACTTTCTGGTTCAAAAGTGGTTTCTTTTCCTTGTGTCCTCAAATGGCCGAAGGGGCAAAGAACCTTTCATGGGCCCCTTTTAAAAGGGTACTGATCCCATTCATGAGGGCTCCTCCACCCTTGTGACTGAATCACCTTCCAAAGCCCTCGCCTCCTAATACCATCATCTTGGGGGTTAGGATTTCAATGTACCAATTTCAGGGGAACACAAACATTCAACCTATAGCCTGGAGTAAGCATGGCTACCACTGTAGGTATGAAACTGGGTCATGTTACTTCAGGTGTCATTTTCTTAGCTGCACAGTGGGTCTACAATGAGGATATGCGGTGAGGATTAAATGTGATAATCATGTAAAATTACCTACTATAGTGCTGTTATTGACTAGTCATTTCTAAATGAAATGAAAGTAGAAATTTCATTATAAGGATGGGACAATAAAATAGTTTTCCAAAATAAGACCCTTGAAAAAATGGAAGAGATTCTGATCTTGTTCAGCAAGAGGTATTCCAAGTTCAACTCCATCTGCTAAGAAACATCTGCTTGATACTAAGAAATGTGTTATCAGATTTCCTGACCTCGGCCACAATTACTTAATGTCAAAGCAAAATTCCCATATCAATGGGCAAGACCTTTACTGTGATTAGTCAGGATTCCCAAGGGCCCCCCATCCTGCACGTGGCCGTTCCATAAGCCCCCACTCCCAGGACTGTGAACTCTGTCCGTTTCCTGGTATTGTTCTCTTCCCATTCCCATTAAATGGCAGCAGCCCTTATTACCTCAGTTTAATCCATGTCTGTCCTTGGCATTCTTTTTAACATGATTTCTCCTGCCTCAGAACATTTGGGGGTATGAGATATTCAAAGAACCACGTGGCATAAGTGCAAATTACATGTCTGAAAAATACCTGGGACACTTCACTTCATTCCTAGAACTGGATTAATGTGTTTCTGCAGTTTCAAGGCTTAGGTAAAAATTCTCAGGCACTTTTTAGAGTTGATATTGAACCCAGTCATCTCTGTAGGGTGTTGAATATGTGCTGGGTTCGATAACCAAATCTGAACATGCTTCTTTTTCCTGTGTGCTTCTTATTGTCACTCTCTTGAACGCTAAAAAGACAGGGAGCTTGACATAAACTTTCAGAGTTTGCTAATCTTTGGAATTAACATTGAAGCAAATATAAGACATTTAAGAGATTCTGCCATCCTCAAATATTCATGAGCTAGGAAAGTTCTATTTATTGTTTGATTTTAAGAGTTATTCATTTGCCTGAGATTTTTTATTTTACATTTGCTGTTTCTTTCACCAGAGCCTACATTCATCAGTACACAAAATTTGGAATGGAAGAAGAGGACTTTTTGGACAGTTTCACATTGTTAGAACAGGTTGTTGCCAGTTACTGCAACCTCTAATCTCGAACAAAGGAAAAAAGTACCTTAAGTCATTTTTGGGCTAAAATATTTTCAATAGTACTTTCTCTGTACGGTTTTCAAATGTCTACCTGTTAAAGTAACAAAGTCAAATGCTGTTTCCTTTGGCATATTATGACCACGGAAAAGGAGGAAAACCTTTTAAACCGAGAACATCATGTGTTTTTTTTTTTAAAGATTTTATTTATTTATTTGACAGAGAGAGACACAGCGAGAGAGGGAACATAAGCAGGGGGAGCAGGAGAGGGAGAAGCAGGCTTCCTGCTGAGCAGGGAGCCCGATGCGGGGCTCGATCCCAGACCCTGGGATCATGACCTGAGCCGAAGGCAGACGCTTAACGACTGAGCCACCCAGGCACCCCGAGAACATCATATTTTCAATGAAAATGTCTACTTGGTATTTTCATTTGTAAGAAAGAAACTGGTGCTTCTATAAAAAAATTTGGAAACACTTTGCTGAAATGTTGGAACTCTGGAAGTATCCAAAAAAGGGAATATTATGTTCTGTCCCCATGTTTCTAAGTCTTCCCTTCTTTTTTTTTTTTAAAGACTTTATCCGAGAGCAAGCGAGCGTGGGGGGAGGGGCAGAGGGAGAAGCAGGCATCCCACTGAGCAGGGAGCCTGATATGGGGCTTGATCTCGGGACTCCGGAAGTCTTCCCTTCTTTATTCCAAAAAGGATTCACTAAATACCAGCTAAACTTTTACAGCACAATTTGAAACTGAGAAATTGCAGAAACTGAGAAAATGCATTTAATTGAAGTGGATGCCTTGAACCACAAGAGGGAGCTATTGTCATATGCTAGATTATGAACTTTTTTAAAAATATTTTCTTCTGTAACAGTAAGATTTTCCACTTTAAGCAGCTATTTAAAAATAAATATCAGATTTTGTTAATAAATGTATATCATGCTTAAGTACAAAAGTAAGGAAGTAAATGCTTTTCTTAAAATTTTCTAGGCATCAGAAAATTGGGTCAGTTTTTCTTTTAGCCCTTGAAATGTAAGAGCAGAAAGTGACTTTATTCAACTAGTGCTTTCAGATTACGTATAGGTATTTAGCTAGCGTGAAAGATGTTATGCTTGTCAGTAAAAGGGGTAAGTTTTCACTAAAATTTCACTAGGTTGAGAAAATTACCACCAAGGTAATACTGTCCTTGATGAAATTGAACATACAGATGTGGGTTTCACTCAGAACAAAACACACTTGGAAATTGGCAACTGAGTTTGAAGGCGATTGTGTATTTCAATAAAACATGTCACATGCAGTGTATTAACATATGTCAAATGGGAAACAAATAGGAACATTTGCCCCTTCTGCCAAATCTACCAGTGGTGATTTATTTTTATATGGAAAAATGACAGTTCACAGCTTCACTGGTTTCTTCCTTTTCTTTCCATATGGAAATGATTACTTTTTTGCTGTTTTTCTTATCAACTGTTGCTATGATTTAAAATACTGAGCCATATCTTATTTCTAAGGAATGTGAAAAGTGGTCTGTTCAGCCACTAAAGGCACACCCCTCTGCTGCATTTTGTTAACCCAAGTATACTTGAAAAATAATCAGATAATGATTTTTACAAAATAAAGTTAAAAGTAATGGTTTTACACTGAAGACATCCAAAGACTGAAACAACTTCCCAAACTGAACTAGCATTAATGAAGATCCGGAGCTTACCAGGGGTTAAGCTGATTCTGAGGAACCTGCTAGAAGTGAAGCTTAAAGAAAGTTGTAAATCACTTTATATTTAAGAAAGGAATTCATGAGGTACCAGTGGGGACAAGTTTATTTCTAATTTGGCAACTCATGAAATCAATGGCAGGTGAATATTAGAAGAAAGCCCCAGTTAGACACAGCTCTGGGTCCATTCACTTATATGAGTAGAGCCTTTTTTATGATCCACAACTGCATTATTTGATGTGTGTGAATACCTAAATATTTGCAGACTTGTTTTAAAACATTTAGATGAAAAAATTTTTTTTTCTGTTTGGAGTAACAAAATTTTTGCTGTTAGAGTTGTGATTTAACTTTAACACAAAGGGGATGCCAAAGCTTCAAGATAGGGGGTGTAACTGGAAATGTACTTTGTGCAGAGAAAACGGCCGATCAGCCAGGGCAACATTAGGATCATAACTTCCTGGGCATACAGATCCAGAAGCTTTGAACTTGAAATATCTTAGATTACTGGGTAACTGGAGTACTATGTTGTCACTCACATTTCTCCCAGAGCCCACACACACTCCCTGTAGGCAATAACGAAGTGTAAATTCAAACTGCTTATTTTTAAGCCTCTTCACTCCTTCATTTGTGCTTTTGTCAAGAGTTCTTTAAGCGGTGGAACCTGTTTCTTCCCATTCATTCCCTCTTGCTTCTAGCTTTGCCCCTGCCTACAGGATCCAGTCAATCTGCAACATCTTTCTCCTTTATTTAACCTGTCACTTAGACCTTAGCCAACATATCCACGATTCACTGTTCTCAGGTAATTCATTCATTCCATCAATATCTAGTCAGTGCCAGGCACTGACTTAAAGGGGTTAAGACCACATAGTCTAAGTGAAGAAGCTTACAGTGTAGCTAAGTTTCTTTGAATGTCTTTTTCTTTTTTTTTCTTTTTTTTTTTTTTTAAAGATTTTGTTTATTTATTTGACAGAGACACAGTGAGAGAGGGAACACAAGCAGGGGGAGTGAGAGAGGGAGAAGCAGGCTTCCCGCGGAGCAGGGAGCCCGATGTGGGGCTTGATCCCAGGACCCTGGGATCATGACCCGAGCTGAAGGCAGACGCTTAACGACTGAGCCACCCAGGCGCCCCATGAATGTCTTTTTCTTTTTAAGATTTTATTTATTTGACAGAGAGAGACACAGCAAGAAAGGGAACGCAAGCAGGGGGAGTGGGAGAGGGAGAAGCAGGCTTCCCGCTGAGCAGGGAGCCCGATCCCAGGGCTCGATCCCAGGACGCTGGGACCATGACCTGAGCCGAAGGCAGACACTTAACGACTGAGCCACCCAGGCGCCCCTTTCTTTGAATGTCTTGATGCTCCAGTCCTAGATTCCTCATTATTGGTTATTTTCCCCATGTCCATGTTCCACTTTTTTACAGGGAAGATGTAATACAGGGAACAATGAGCTCGGAGTTCTAGTCTGGGCTTTACATTGGTCTGAAAGGCCTCCTCCCTGGCTCTGGAGACTATTCTGCGGGGTACATACCAATGATTCTTCTGACCGCCATGTTTATCACACTTGAATTCCTGTCCAAAATTTTTGTTTTAAAACATGCTCCATATGTTCCTATCACAGTATTCTCTCCCCATGAGCCCAAGGTTTGGCAGTCAACCCTCTCTTGCTCTTCAACCTACCTACCAAATACGGCTTTACTCACTAACTTGTCATTTTTGGCAGATAATCAGTTATTTAAGAGATGTCTGCTTGGGGCGCCTGGGTGGCTCAGTTGGTTAAGCAACTGCCTTCGGCTCAGGTCATGATCCTGGAGTCCCTGGATCGAGTCCCGCATCGGGCTCCCTGCTCAGCAGGAAGTCTGCTTCTCCCTCTGACCCTCCCCCCTCTCATGCTCTCTCTCTCTATCTCATTCTCTCTCTCAAATAAATAAATAAAATATTAAAAAAAAAAGATGTCTGCTCATCTTTATCAATCACACTGTTTCCTATGGGTTTTAGGGATGTGAGCTAAAAAATCTGGCTTTACGTATTTAACTAAATACCTTCCTACTCCTGTACTCTGAAATGTTTCGGATGATGCAATGTCAGCCTTATTAATAAATGGAATCCCACTTCCACTAGCCAGAATGCTTGCACAAGAATTTAAGATGAACAGGGGCGCCGGGGTGGCTCAGTCGTTAAGCGTCTGCCTTCAGCTCGGGTCATGATCCCGGGGTCCTGGGATCGAGCCCCACATCAAGCTCCCTGCTCAGCGGGAAGCCTGCTTCTCCCTCTCCCACTCCCCCTGCTTGTGTTCCCTCTCTCACTGTGTCTCCATCTGTCAAATAAAATCTTTTAAAAAAAAGAATTTAAGATAAACAGTGTAAGTATTTCCAGTTTCTGGGCAACACAGTGTGGGGTCAGTGTTGTAGAAGTTATGGCATTTAAGGGAGAAGAGGGAAAAGAGAAAATCCCAATCACTGAGATCCCAGGCAGCCAGTGACACAGGAAGAAATGAAAAGGAAGGTTAATGATGCGCCCCCCTCCAGCCCCCAAGAGCCGCTTACAAGCAGAGAATAGCTTACAAGCATATTAAGAAAAAGACGATGGTTCTGAATTATGGATTTTACCTAAAGATGAAAAATCTAAGAATAGCTTAAAAGAATAGCTTAAAAAGGAACAGGAAGCTAAATAACGTGTCATTTAGCAAATAATTCTCTTACCTGAATTTATCTCCTTTGCCAATGATGGAGCCGATAAGATGAATACTTTCATGGCTTGTCTAATTATTTACATTGGGAGTACACAAAAATTCAAAGATTCTGTACCTGTGCTGTCCAGTAAGGTAGCCATTAGCCACACGCGGCTCGCGCTGTAAGTATAAAATACACATTGGATCTTGAGGACAGTATGAATAAAAGAATGTACAATATAAATATTTTTAATTGTTGAAATGATATTGTGGACGTATTTAGTTAGATTCTTTGAATTGGTATTTTTTGTTTCTTTTTACATTTTTTTTTTTAAAGATTTTATTTATCCAGGGGCGCCTGGGTGGCTCAGTCGTTAAGCGTCTGCCTTCGGCTCAGGTCGTGGTCCCAGGGTCCTGGGATCGAGTCCCTCATTGGGCTCCCTGCTCAGCGGGAAGCCTGCTTCTCTCTCTTCCACTCCCCCTGCTTGTGTTCCCTCTCTCGCTGTGTCTGTTGAAAAAGTAAGTAAAATCTTTAAAAAAAAATTTTTTTTTATTTATCCATTTGACAGGGAGCGAGCACAAGCAGGGGAGCATCAGGCAGAGGGAGAGGGAGAAGCAGGCTCCCCGCTGAGCAGGGAGCCCGGGACCAGTCGCCTAGGACTGAGCCACCCAGGTGCCCCTCTTATTACATTTTAAAATGGAGCTACTAAAGTTTTAAAATTAGATATATGGCTTGAATTATATATATATATTTTTTAAGATTTTATTTATTTGACAGAGGCAGCTAGAGAGGGAACACAAGCAGGCGGAGTAGGGGAGGGAGAAGCAGGCTTCCCGCTGAGCAGGGAGCCCGATTCGGGGCTCAATTCCAGGACCCTGGGATCATGACCTAAGCCGAAGGCAGATGCTCAACGACTGAGCCACCCAGGCGCCCGAATTATATTTCTATTGGACAGGGATATTCTAGACATTTCAGGACCAAAGGCCTGGGAACTATAGAAAAGGGAGCTGAACAAAGCTTGTCCTTATTAGGTGAGAGGTCATGGGAACATGATAGTAAGAAACATGACATAAGGCAAAAGATGGGAGTTTCCTTTTTGGAAAAAAAAAAAAAAAGACAAGTTAAGCTCATGTGAACGGTATGAAAAAGGCAGGATGTGAGCTTAACTCAACAAACATCCATTAACCACCTGCAAGGAAAGACAGCGCTAGGAGAGGCAGATTTTAAAAATGAGTTAAACCTGCCTCTGTCCTTAAGGGGTTTACCATTTGATATATTCTTTGCTGCAAACATATGCCTGGCTCATGGTAGAGATTATAGATTAATACAAATGTCTAAAAAACTATGGAAGAGACGAAAAGCTGCAAAACTAGAAGCACAAAGTCCATTAAAGCTCACTTATTATCAACAGATCTCATAGCAGATAAAACTGAGGACCTGGAAATACAAATATAATTAAAAATATTTGGTCTTGGGGTGCCTGGGTGGCTCAGTCGGTTAAGCATTTGCCTTTAGTTCAGGTCATGATCCCAGGATCCTGGGATTGAGCCCCACATAGGGCTCCCTGCTCAGTGCGGAGCCTGCTTGTCCCTCTGCTTGTGCCCCCACCGCCATGCTCTCTCTCTTCTCTTTCTTGCTCTCAAATAAATAAAATCTTCAAAATTTCTTTTGTTTTTTTGTCTCTGTGCCATCTTATACAACTAAGAGCCATTTAAAACAGTATAAACTCGGGGCGCCTGGGTGGCTCAGTCGTTGGGCGTCTGCCTTCGGCTCAGGTCATGATCCCAGAGTCCTGGGATCGCCCCTGCATCGGGCTCTCTGCTCTGCGGGAAGCCTGCTTCTCCCTCTCCCACTCCCCCTGCTTGTGTTCCTGCTCTCGCTGTCTCTCTCTGTCAAATAAATAAAATCTTAAAAAAAAATAAAACAATATAAACTTAATATATTGAGAATGAAGAAATGCCTTTGTTTGTAAGTCCTTGCCTAAAATCTAAAGCCCTAGTCCCAGAATTCCAAGCCTTCTAAAGTTCAGCACTCCCACTGTTCCCCTTTACATATGCGGCAGTAGCCAAGACAAACGGAAATGGCTGTTAAATATTAACGAAAAACACGGATTTGTTTAATTTTGTTCAGTAAGGACAGGGACGGAGCAGTGTATCACTGACTTGAAGATAAGAGACATGACCCAGTGATTCTGGCTGCCCCTGCTTTGCCCCCACTGCCAGCCCCCAAGACCAAGGAGAATGGGAAGCTCAGAGCATTTTTTGAACAGTCCTGAAAGGATACACACTAAATTTCATAGTAATTTCTTTGGGGGAGTATCTTTCTCAGATTTCCTTTTTATGCTATGCATTTCTTTTGCTTGCATCTTTCTAAAGCAAACTCTTTGCCCAATGTGGGGCTCAAATTCATGACCCAAAGATCAAGAGTCGGATGCTCTTCCGACTGAGGCAGCCAGGCACCGGCATATTTTTATTTTATTTTTTAAAAGAATTTATTTGGGGGGCGCCTGGGTGGCTCAGTTGGTTAAGCATCTGCCTTCAGCTCAGGTCATGATCCCAGGGTCCTGGGACCAAGCCCCGCATCGGGCTCCCTGCTCAGCCGGAAGCCTGCTTCTCCCTCTCCCACTCCCCCTGCTTGTGTTCTCTCTCTCGCTGTCTCTCTCTCTCTATTAAATAAATAAAATCTTTAAAAACAAACAAAAAAAGATTTTATTTGGGGTGCCTGGTGGCTCAGTCGTTAAGCGTCTGCCTTCGGCCCAGGTCATGATCCCAGGGTCCTGGGATTGAGCCCCGCATCAGGCTCCCTGCTCAGCAGGAGGCCTGCTTCTCCCTCTCCTACTCCCCCTGCTTGTGTTCCTGCTCTCGCTTTAAAAAAAAAAAAAAAGATTTTATTTATTTGACAGACAGCAAGAGAGGGAACACAAGCAGGGGGAGTGGGAGAGGGAGGAGCAGGCTTCCCGCCGATCAGGGAGCTTGATGTGGGACTCGATCCCAGGACCCTGGGATCATGACCTGGGCCGAAGGCAGACGCTTAACGACTGAGCCACCCAGGTGTCCTGGCATATTTTTATTTTAAACAAAGCTTGAAAAACGCAATGTAAAGATAATATAACTCAAATTATTTTTAAAAGGGTGTTAACACCTACAGACAGTTTGAAGAATGAAGGAATAAGTCAAATGAATCAGAAGGCAGTAACAAGGGGTGGAAGTAGTAAGGAGCATCATTGTTCTGTAAACTATCACATAAATAGGTGTAGAAATTACAGGATGCTCCACATACATTCAAGGAACAGGAGGAAGGGGGAAATTAAAGACTAACTTTGGGGTCCTACTATCTCAACATGTCCTTCTAGTGAACATACTATTTCAGGGAACACTAGTAAATATTTCTCACACACACAAACACAGTCTGGGAGCAGCCTAAAAAGTATACTGAAAAGTAGGAAAGCTTTTGTATCTGAAAGAATTTTTTTTTTTAAGAGTTTTTATTTATTTATTTGACAGAGAGAGACACAGTGAGAAAGGGAACACAAGCAGGGGGAGTGAGAGAGGGAGAAGCAGGCCTCCCACTGAGTAGGGAGCTCAATGCTGGGCTCGATCCCAGGACCCCGGAATCATGACCTGAGCCGAAGGCAGACGCTTAACAACTGAGTCACCCAGGCACCCCCTGAAAGAACTTTTTAGGATTTTTTTACTTTTAAGTAATCTCTCCACCCAAGTGGGCTTGAACCCACAACCCCAAGATCAAGAGCCACATGCTCCACCTACTGAGTCAGCTAGGCATCCCTTATGTAGTTTGAGACACTTTTTTGTCTTTATTTCATTTTTAAGATTTCATTTATCAGAGAGAGAGAGTGCATGAGCACAAGCAAGGGGGGAGGCAGAGGGAGAGGGAGAAGCAGGCTTCCCGCTGAGCACGGAGCCCGATGCGGGGCTCAATCCCAGGACCCTGGGATCATGACCTGAGCCGAAGGCAGACGCTTAACCGACTGAGCCACCCAGGGGCCCCGAGACATTTTTTGTCTTTAAAAGTAATCTCTACACCCAACATGGGGCTTGAAATCACAACTGTAAGATCAAGAGTAAGATGCTCTACCGACTGAGCCAGCCAGACGCCCCTGTGTGAAAGAACTTTTTATTTCCTCCTTGCAGAGACCAGGAATGTCTTTTATGCTCCAATGGATTCTTTATGTTTGAAGAAGGAAATGTAGAGCATCTGAAAATTTCTTTGATCTCTGTTTTTTTAAAAGCACTATTTTCAGCTTCCTTTTCTCTTCTGAAATTGTGCAAAGCACTCCCACATACATGCTTTTACTAGATAGGCATCTCATTACATCTGATTCCATCAGAAAGCCAGGAA